GCCTCTTCAATAAGCATGAAGTGTGTAACGAATTCTGCATTCTAGAAAAAGGGCTTGTATGTTGTCCAAACAGAGGTCCAGATACCTTTGAATTAACCTTGGCAGATTTTTTTTTCCAAAAAAGAAAACAAACTTTTTATTTTTTTCATTTTTCAGACGTTCCTCTTTCATCTCATACTGTGCAATGGTCGTTATTTTAGGTTGACTTGCAGGACTAAAATAGGCCTTTACTCAGAATTTCTGATCTTCCTGCTTGGTTTTCTAGTCTTTATTGTCTCTCTGGCTTGTCTGCATGCCTGTTCTTCTCCCTCTTGGTCAGAGTTGTGCTGTCCAGTCATGCAAGAGACATGTTTCGCATCTCTCAGATTCCACTGGAGGATGTTCTTGGCACCAGGAAACAATAATGTTATAAAATAATAAACATAATAATCACCGCAGGATGAGCTAGTCTGGGTAGCCCCTGGGTGCAGAGTTAGTCATATACATCCACTCAGTAGCTGCAGTATTACTTTGTACACAAGGCAATGGCTGCTGGTGGCATTTTCTATTTTTTTTTTTTTTGCGCTAGTACATTTTATTTTTGCAGAAAAAAGGAAGTTCTGAAGCTTGGTATATCAAACAAATGGCATGACATGTTAGGCTAAAATAAAGTTTTGTTAAGCTCAGTAAGTTGGTAACATGCATCTGTTTGCATGTCCGGATCTGCATTGTCAGCGGCTATGCCAAGGCAGCCCATTGGCTGATTTTACTGGCGCCCCCTTCTGTCGATCTGGGTCCCCGTTTGCTGATTGGGCCCTAGGTAGCTGCCTAGTTTGCCTATGCCTATGCCCAGCCCTTTTGGTTTGCATGTGAAATAAGATGCGTGTAATTTATTTATGCCACTTACATAATGGTTGCATGCCAAGATATAGGTGGAGTCTGTTCCGGCACTTTCCCAGGTTGCCACTTGCTTCCAAAGTCTCTTCCTGTTCTGTGGACTTTGCAGATTCAGCCCCTAATTCCTTATAGCACCTCTAAGAAGCACTTTGGTGCATATTAACCTTCCACACATTCCTTCTCTGCCCATCAGTGCATAACTCTTGCCTTGTTTCTCCCCATTTACATTCACATTTACATGCCCTGACCTGTCGCGACAACCTTAACGTCATTCTTAGCCTTAGGGGTAAAATAAACGATCGATCATCGAGATGCTCCCTGACGTACGTGTCATTCTGCATAGAACCGATGTGTTTTTTTTTTTTCTTCAGAGAATTTGTGCTACAGGTCACATGACTCCTTAAACTGGCCTAACTGTATGGAATGTGACTAGCAGAGAACAATTCTCTGGGAGACGGAGCAGGAATATCGCTTTGGACGGGCACAGACCTGCCCACGTTCGGCGCTCCCTCCCCGGCACGTGCCTTTGCGGGTGCTTTTGTTTCTTCTCTTTCCTACAGTGAAATCATGGTATTCCATCTACTCCAGGCCTTTTCTTTACCCCTGTCAGCAATCATTCCCTGAGCAGATAGTTCTCACTGCTCGTTGCTGTTCAAACCTCACGATTGCTTAGAGAACTCATCGTCTGCACACTCACTAAGCAGTTGTTTGTGTACCAAACATAGCTGGTTTGAGTTTAGTTCTTAATCTTAAACGCAGGATTACTTAGGTCAACCAAACTTTAAATGTAGAGCGTATTCTTGTAATACCTTGATTTCTGTATATTTATTGTGTCCTGTGTGGAATAGGCAGAGTATTGTCATTATAAAGAGGAGTATAAGACTTCATGTTCAACCTGCGTGAAAAGCAGAAGTTGCTCAAATCAACTGAAACCCATTCTTCCGATTTATCACTACATTACGTCAACAAGAAAGTGAGGCGGACGTAGGAGAAGCCGGTTGGATATTGACTGATTTCGGGTTTGCTGCTGTTGCGGAACCAAAGCTCAGGATCCAGTTTGCAGTCGTTGCCTTTACGTTGAATTACACCCTTGTACAGGCTTCTGAGCACTTGTGATGTGCGTAAGCTACCTGGGGTGTAGTAACGTAACCTTTCCATTAACCTTTCAATGCTTGTGCAAGACGGATTTATGTGTATCGTGCTTTCCCTTTGTCACTAAAGCCCCAGTGAACCATGCCCTTTTCACCACTGGAACACCCCCTCTCACAGACTATATGATGGACCGGGCCGTGCGTGCTGCTAATTGTGTCACGTAGAACCACGTCTGATATCTGGCCTAGGAACATCCCTGCGGAGTCCAGGGGCTTAAATATTTCCATTGGGACTGGCAGGGTTTATATGGCGCCCCTGGGGAATGAGCTGATGCAGAGACTTTGGCCAGGATAGAAGCAGAGCTTGTTATTGAATACGTGTGGAAGGTGGTTTCGAAGCACTGACTGGCTGTCAGAGAAGCACATGTGTGATGACAGCTGAGATGTCCTGCAAGATAAAAAAATTGCCGCAAAGCAAAACAAAGATGAAAATATATTGCATTTCCTCTTTATTTTACAGTAAAAACTATATTGTATTTGTATATTTGTATTTGTGAGGTGATGACATATATGTTAGCAGAACACAATTTACACTACATTTTCCTTCGTTTGGAGTAGACAAAACACAAAAAGTTACTGTAGATTTATAATACCTTAATTCTGTGGTCATTATTCTTGTTAGAAGAAAATATACAGTTACATTGAATTTATTTTTATATAGCGCCTTTCGCGACAGGGTCGCCCCAAGGCACTTCATATGGGTGTGCTGTGATGCATTACATCATCATTAAGAGAGAACAATAGAAAAACAGGGAAAAAGAAGGAAATAAATTTATAAAAGAAAGAGCCAGATGACAACGGAGATGAGGAACCAAAAACTCTTAAGTAGGAAGTAAAACCCCTCTGGGGGTCCAAGGTCACCAGGCTGCCCCCCCCCCCCCAGGCATGGTAACATTATAGGAGAAAGAAAATAAAACTGCAATCTTGGTTGATAAGAATTCTTTAAGTGAACTTTCCTTTATATCGTTAGCTAGGCAGAAACTAGCGTGTGCTTTCTTGTAATAATATTATATCGTAAACCAAAAATAACACAAAGATGAAAACGAAACAATGGTTTAGTTTAGACTAAAAGTAGACTGATTGCAGTTTGATATAGTGTCCTGCTGTTCCTGCATATTGAAATATAATATATTGTTAAATATAATCAGATAAAAGAAATAACATTTATTCTGTGTACAGTGTACAACTAAATTATGTCTACATGCTATATTTTAGGTCTGAGGTACCATTAGCGAGCTACAGATTTGTATGTGATTTGAGGCCATGCCCCCCCCCCAGATTATTGGAGGGGGTGGATAGCAGTTGATGGTTTTTTGGACCAGGCAGCACATCTGTCCATCAGTGTTTGCTGCTCAATGTGAGCTGAGAGGTTGTAGCTCCTGTGAGGCTCGGCTATGCTCGCGACATCTGGTCCTCCTGACGACCTAATTACACTTGTGAAATGACGACTGACTCAGACAGGACAGGACCGACAACAGCTCCTCGCTTCTCTCTCACTCACTTCACACACTTGTGCACTGATCTGAATTCCAAAAGACTCCTGTTATACATCCCGTAGAAACGATACCCAATACTGAGAATACCTCCACCTTATTACTTGAAATGTAACACATCTGCTTTCCTACCACTAGCTGCTGATTGCTTATCCGATAATTGGATTTGATATTCAAGTTCGTGGGGGAACATGGCTTGCCAGGAGGAAGACATTTTTCCTTTATTCATGCGCCAGTGATATTTGTAGATTTTTCTGGTGTTTTGCAGCGGTATTCAGAGCATGCTGTCATGGATCGATAGGTTGGAAAGTGTTCACTATGAGCAGATGAGCACTTTCCTGGAACATGATGCTTTTAGCAGGATTCAGGTATTGATATTAAAGAGACGAATGGGTTAAAACTTAATGTTGCAATACGCGCAACGTGACATCAGTGTTTTCACATGCACCTGTAACTTTTTTTGCAAGTGAATAGTGAAAGCATTTCAAGGAAGAGGCTCTCAGCTCAAAACTGTAAAATACACCGCGGTACTGATGCATTCATACTACTGTTTCCAGGCTGCCCTCGTTTTCTAAAAGAGATGCACTTTTGGCCAGGACCTTATTGTAGCTTGGCCTGCCAAAATCGGTCGGCTCACACGGCTGCTACAGCGTGCAATATCAGTGATGAGATGCACAAGGGGTGATAAATGCTCAGCAGAATTGTCTGTCGTGATTGAGTTTGTGTCAAGTCTGTCAGATTGTTGGCCCCGGTGGTGATGGACTCACAGGACGTCCTTTGGCTTTAAAAACAATTTGAAAGTCCTCTTGCCCCTGCAGTTTGCACTGTTGCCCTCTAAGGCACACCTGTATAGTTCAGTCACCAATGCAATTGAACAAAAATGCTTTTGTTTCACCTCTGGAAGAACACTGTGCACCTCTCTCACCATGTAGCACATGCATTCAAGCTCAAACACATTGCCTGCAGCCTAAAATAGAGCCTGGGAGCCGTACAGTTTGTGCTCATGGGTGTGATGTTCAGGAATATCTGGTAATTTGGCACAGAATTTTACAGAGTTTCGTCCTCGGATGCTTTTGAAGTTACGTACAGGCCGTTTGTTATTCTTTTTTTTTAAGTAGAAGACATTAGCCTCATAACCTTAGACATGAAACCTTTATCAGAGCTAAATCATCTTGGGGACCTTTCAAGAGGATGGGCAACAAACAGCTACGTGTAGGTAGTGGAATTTATAGTAATGATGTGATGTAATGGTCATTTGCTCTGAAAAATACTCATTATCCCTGAAGTCCAACTATATATATATATATATATATATATATATATATATATATATATATATATATATATATATATATATATATATATATATATGTTCCTGCACATTATGTGATTATGTGTGTTTCGTGCTACATCTGTTTGGAATCCTATGCTTTTTTCTGCCTGTGGATGACATCAGACACAATGTGGTTTCTTTTACCAGCGCAGGTTAGGCATGCCAGGGGCCGCCAGACCGTGGGCGTAGCCGCTGGATCGCGGAGAGACGGAACGAGGGAGTCGGGGAGAGAGCAAGTGAGCCCCAGAGAAGATGGGCGAAACCGAGGATGAGAAGTGCTCCCAGGCCGGGCAGCTCTTTGAGAACTTCGTCCAGGCTTCGACCTGCAAGGGCACCCTGCAGGCGTTCGGGATCCTCTGCCGCCAGTTGGAGCTGGATCCACTGGACCACAAGAACTTCTACAGCAGACTGAAGGCCAAGGTCACATTCTGGAAGGCTAAGGGACTTTGGAGCAAGCTGGACAAGAGAGCTGGTCAAAAGGACTACAAGAAGGGCAAATCGTGTGTGGGCACCAAGGTAAGGAAGCACGATCTGCAGACTTCAGGCTGATACCTTCCCATGTGCGAAGCAGTCAGAATAAGGAAGCAAGGGTAAACAATGAAAGGAAATTAGAATCAAAATCTCCAAATTGGCCCTTCATTTTTTATCATTAAAATTCAATCTTCTGATTTGAGTTATATTTATATAGACAAAGAATTTCATAAATGTTCTTGTGACAGTACCCAAACACTACAAAAACAAATCATATTGTTCCTTCTTTTGTTTTCGTTTAGCCTTGCAATGTAAATTACCAAATAATTTGACTAGCGTATGCAAATAACTGGAGAGAAATTTGCCCTTTCCTCCTGAGTTTTGCTATTTAAAGACGGCAAGTAAATGCTGCAGCATTTTCGGTACTAAACTTTGTTCCATTAATACTTTAACCCTGCTAAAAACAATGAAAATGTTGTACCTGTTGATTGATGTTCATTTTTAAAACAAACTGGGCCATTATTAAATACACACAATTACCATACTTGGTAATGGCATCATGTATAAGAAGCTCTTCCAATCTACGGCAGGCCGAGTAAACGCTCATGCCGCTTAAGGTATCGAGAAGATGTGTAATTCATACATAGGTTGTCATCTTGGTGCTTCTCAGGTTGCAATGTATGTAAGCAAATTGTAAGATGATACCTTTTCAAGTGTATTTTTAGGATTATTGCAACTATTTTAGGGAAGAAAAGGTCTTTTTAAAACAAGCTTTGTGGGTTAGGAGTCTGTGTCTGGTAGGTCGCTGGTTTGAATCCCATGGCCAGCAGATTAATTATATAACATAAACAAAGCCCTAAACCCCAAAAAGTGCTCCAGGGTGCCTGGAAGCTAGATGCTCTCCTCTCTGAGCCCCAACACACAGAATGACCTAGAACACTGAATGCGACATCATTGCATTAGTACATTTAAAATCAGCTCTGCAAGTTTTTTTCTATTTTATCTTCTTGGGACAGCAATCTACTCAGATCTGTTGATCATGTGAAGGTTTGTATGCTCCTGTCACAACGCCATCTCGTTATAGAAATTACACAGCATATACATTTATTCTGCACTGCTTTTAATCTTGTGTGCATGCGATCTTTTAGGGGTGTGTGTTGTGTATCCTGCGGACAGAAATGTAAACTCTTCTGCAGACTCTGGTTTGGAGATTTTATGCACTGCAGCTAACTGAATGGCCAGCTGAAATTTGAAACTTTTGTGTGTGTGTGTGTGTGTACATTATTCTTTGAAGCATGTAATGGTATGTCAAAGTTAAAAAATCTTAAGTGTATTTTAACATTCAGGTGCAACTGCATTGATGCATCCAACATTAGGGAATCAATAGCCTTGCTGCACAGATAATTAACATAATGATGTGTTTATGCTTTGTATCTCTCGATTGCATGCATATTTTTTAAATAACTGCACAGAGAATAATGGCTTAGCTTGAGTTGTATTCATGTATATAAAATAAGACCAAGGGAAATATCTAGTGTATGTCATGATGTTTTTCTTTACCTTTACCTTATGAATAATATATTTATTGTGGAGAAAAAATCAGTGTGGAGAAAAAATTTCTAAGAATTTAAGAAGGAATGTATGCAGCAACTCTAGAATGCAGTGTCCCAAATATCCTTATTTAATCATTATACTCGGAACACACTGACTATTTGAATGTGACAGTGCTGCACTTTAATAAACCCTTTTCTTAGATCTCTGTTTAAACTGCCAAAACCCTTTAGGCATATATATTTAAATGTACTTTCCAACGTACACAGGTTTGCATTTATTATTGTTTTGAATCATTCTTTAAAGCAAGAATATGATTAATCTATGCCCCAGCAATAAATTCATATACCCATTTGAACTGCTACAGTTGGCAAATGCAGCCTGATAGAGTGTCTGACTCAACCAGTCTGCATTCTCATAGTCTTTGCAATGGTTTTGTAATCAGTGTGATTCAGACTTTCCACCTAATCAGTGGTGTTGCATTTCGCTGTAGTTTTGATGAATTTCTGGTGTGAAGGCGATGGAAAGCAAAAGGTTGTATGCACAGGGATGGGGTCGTCCTCAGTGTACCCGTGATTGGCTGCTGTGCTGTATGATGTCACCACATCTGCAGTGATGAGCAGATGCGGTGACACCATACAGCACAGCAACCAATCAGAAGGCACAGATATCATTGGGATTGCCTGGAATGGAAGCTGTGGAGATGAGTGATTAACTAATTCCAGACCATATCCAGCATATCAAATCCTCAAGCAGCAGGGAATTTTGAGCCTACATGGGAACATGCCCGTTTAATCCCGCTTAAACATTTAGATGACAGCTAGTTAACGACAGAGATTTCTATTGGTGGACATAATCAAAACACATCATGGATTGTCAGCTGACTACAAAGAGGTACAGTACCAGTGGAATCTGCTGAGGTCTGCTTTGTTCCCCTGTTAGGCTAATTAACATGCAGGTGTGTCTTTAAAAAGAGGCATCTTTGAGTCTGCATGGCCTCAGCACACCTGGCCCTCCTGGGCCGGCTCTCATGCCCAGTGTCATTGTCTGACTTGATGAAAGGTGCCCGTCAGACCAGCTGTAAGGGATCTGTTGTCCAAACAGGTGCCTCAGGGCCTGATGCAAAGTGAGTCTCCTCCATTCTGCCAGCCGTATTGATGTCATTCCCACCTCTGCCCTAGAGTGATGACGCCCAATAAACGAGACGTGATAGTAATAGAAGTGAGAAAAGTGTAAACTTTTATGGACAGGGATCCATGAGAATTTTTACTTCCTAATAGGCCAGTTAGGAACAGCATGATCTGTCCCTGTACTGCATAAACATGATATCCCCCCCCACCCAATGTAGTATAGAGTATCTTTACCTGGAAGATCCCAACTGTGATTCTGTGCCCACACGCATTGTGACAGGAAGACCGTCCAACGGCTAAAGCTTTGTCAGGCATGTGCTCTGTGGTTATTTTGGCCACATAATCTACCCCCCCCCACAAGGCATCGCCTCCCATTTGTAAAACCGGTCTGTTGGGAATGGAAATTGTATGATGTTTTCATAGGGAGGGTGCGAAGGTCAGATGTGGCCGCATTTGATCTGTTAAATAGGAAATGGAGATCATCTGGTTTGGCTGGCCTGGGATTTAACCAGAGGCTGGTGCCCATGTTCAAGAAACTTAGCTTGTGACCAGACACCAGTGGTTTTAGCTTTTAGGGGGAATCCTGCTATTGAATCATCCTGAATTTCACTGCATGTCCTGCTAAATTAAATGAACAAAACTGTATGTTGCTTTGTAAAAAAAAAAGCAACAAACGAGCCAATAAAACGGCAGGACGATAATGAGAGTCAAAACAGGACTTGACGATTGCGTTCAACATCGTTAGACCCTTCACGGCACTGTGGGGATGCAGTGTGACTCAGGCATGGTTCACGAGTGACATAACTATTCTGAAGACGCTGTTAAGTACAGCCCTGCCTCTCACCCCGAAATTGCGTGCATGAGGTCATGCTCAACCCGCATATTTGCAGGCAGGCCTGAAATCAAAGGGCCTGGACGAGCGCATGTTTTAGTGACTGGTGTATTTGGTATAAGGAGTGTAATTAATACTTTGGCTAAGCTAATGATGAAGTTTTCCATTACTTGTGTGCTTAAATCCCACCACAATGCAGTACAGGTAGTAGGCGTTCACAGAGCCCAAGGTCTCATATGTGGTGTAAAGTATATTAAAGTCTTGTTCTTATTCTGAAATTTACACTCCAGCAACTTCTATTTGGGTGCAGAGTCACTGAACAATAAAGCATTACAACATCCGAGGTTGGTTTGCGTGGTATTCTGCTCTCTGATTGGTGAATGTGTTGACCATGTGATCTTCTTTCTTTTCCTCCCAGTGTCTCATCATTGGTGGGGGCCCCTGCGGCCTGCGGACAGCCATAGAGCTGGCCCTCCTGGGGGCCAAGGTAGTGGTGATAGAGAAGAGGGACACCTTCTCCAGGAACAATGTTCTGCACCTGTGGCCGTATACAATTCATGACTTGCGTGGCTTGGGTGCCAAGAAGTTCTATGGCAAGTTCTGCGCCGGATCTATAGACCACATCAGTGAGTATCCTTCCGGTTATCTTTTGTGGGTGTGCGTTTGTGTGCTTGGGGGAGGGGAGCCGACTACTACGGCTCTCTCTTCCCCTTTCACTTATTTCAGTATGTTCTCACTGACCTACCTCACAGATCAGAGAAGGAACAGGATATCAACTAACTTCTGCAGGAGAGCAGAAGAGAACAACCTAACCTCTTTAGAAGACATGCTGAGAGAGATTAATGGTGCCGCGTGTTTTCATGGGATAATAATAATATTTCTCTTGGTGGAGTGTTTGATTTATCATGTAATTAAATTAGAGTGTCAAAATACCTCTGGGAGTTTTTCTGCAACACATCCATCTCTGAAGAATGTGTATTGTGTGACTCCTGTCAACACTGCCCTACATAAGAGACATCTGTCTGGCCAAAAGTGCAATAACTATTTTCTAAAGAGGCATTTCTGTTCTTTTGTGGCTTCGAGTGACTTTAGTACAAATCTGGAAAGTTCCCTTGATATGAAGTGACTTGTCACAGTGATGTCCATGCCTGACGCTCGTGACATATGGTTCACCTCCTCTCTAGGGTGACCACCTAATCCATATCGGGGGGACACTACGAGTTAGGACAGGGTTCGCAAACTACCATTTCAATTAAAAAGACCTGGATTTCACTTGTGCCGAGTTCTTGCTGTGTGCCTGTAGTCATGCATGTGTCGCTAATGTTAACCTGAAACAGCTGGATGAGTCTTTCAATCACGGAAACCAGTAAAAGCACAAGAAGAATTGAACTAATTAGCCAAACACAGGAGCCTTTCAGCTTTAAAGTTGTGTGTAAAACCTGAAGTAGCTCGTAGTCTCCCCCCTGACGTGGATCAGGTGGCCTCTCTACTCCCATCCCTCACAGTGCCATTTAAACAGAGTGAGACTTCCTTTCAGGATCAGGGACAATACCGCAAAGGCTGATGGGTAATGCATCTCCCAGATCTCTAAAAGCTCACAGCTCTCCCAGGGCAGAGACTGAATCCTGCCTGTGCTACATGCATATGCTGAGCCCACAATGACATGTAGTGAAACCCTGAGACTTATGGTTCTTGTCCTGGTTCTGCTCCGTTAGGTATTCGCCAGCTGCAGCTCATGCTGCTGAAGGTCTCGCTGATCTTGGCCGTGGAGGTCCACGTCAATGTGGAGTTTGTCAAGCTCCTGGAGCCCCCGGAGGACCAGGAGAATGAAGGTGATTGCTAACGAGCCTCGCATGGCTAACAGTGTGCAAGGTGGTGGGGGGGGGGGATGGATTTGAAAGTCGCACGCGGATGAAGTCAGGTGACAAAGACATTCATTGGCTTCACTTGATACTAATTGCGTTCTGGTTTTCTCTCGGCCTAGGAAATACGCCCAGACCGAAATGCCGTCCCACTCGTTTCTCGACCCAATGCCTCTCACGTGTTCCTGGGAAAATGCGCAGATGCTAAAATGGCCTTTGGTTTTTGTTCCTTTGTCAAAACCGTCTCTACTCTCATCCCCGAATAAAGCCTCTCTTCTCTACCTCTCCTTTCTCATGCATCGCATTTTTTAAATTAGCCAGCTGTCGAATTTGAAGATGAAAACAAGGCAGGAATAGAAGAGGATGGATAAGAGGGATCGTCTGAAAAGGCTGTAGTGAGAGCGTTTCAGCGGGGTCGTGTTAATGCTGGAGTAACGATGACAGTGTAACATTTCTGAGGCTCTCGGCCTGAGAGGCAGCTTATTTTCCAGAGCCACTGTTTGTTTTCACCTTCACCTAGTATCACAGAATGAGGCGTCAGATCCAGTTCAGTTCAGGGCTTCCAGCCTCTTCTTTGTGTATGTGTGTCCCGGACAACCAGTCATACACAGCAGCAGCAGACAGTGGCCTTGTTTATTTTCACAGTGGATTTTGAAAAGTAAAGAGATTCTTTTAAGGGGTCATTGCACCTCTGCATTTTTAGCTCATGATTAACTAGCTTATATATATATATATGTGGTTTTTTGGTTGGAGACCAAAATTTTAAGAATTCGCATTAAACAATGTTTAAGCTTGCTAAATTTAGCTAAGTATATTTGGAGAAAAGCTTTACGCTTGCCAGAGTTACTCCGTAGACCTTTTACGGCCTGTTATCAGCAAACCTCTGCAGAGGTCATGATTTTCCGTGAGCCGTCGGTGGTCCTGGGTGCGGAAAATGAGCGGCTCTTGTGTGAAACCAACGAGAGTGTCGATGTCAGCGGGAGCGTATCTTAAATTAGGAGTGACCAGCTACTTGTTGTGAAGTTCAGTTGCATAGTTTGTTCACATGACACCCTACAGAGTTACGTAACGTTGACCTAGCTAGGAAGCTTTCGTTTCCCAATCTTGAAACACCTGAGAGCAAAGCATATTAATCTGGTATTCTCAGTTATTACTATAACTTTATGGGAGTGATTTCAAATTCCATGGATCTGTCATCAAAATTCATTAAATTTTATTAAAGTGATATATTTAAGCTCGAGAGAAGATCCTGTTTCTGTGGTTCAGCTGTTGGATGTGTGGCTTTAGGATTGAATCTGAATCCTATTTTCCCCTCAGACCATGATGGAAAACCCTCAATTGCTCAGACGTTGCAGTGGTAACAAAATGCATTTCATATGGCAAAAAGTGTGCAGGCACTAGTGTGACGTGGACTTCTGTAAAAACCAGTGTCTGCTCTACTGCCATGCCAGGTCCTGGGTGGAGAGCTGAGATCTGCCCCTCTGATCACCCCGTTTCCGACTTCGACTTTGATGTTGTGGTTGGAGCAGATGGACGGAGGAACACGCTGGAAGGTGAGACCTGTGGTGTGGGGATTGTATCTGCTCGTGGGAGTTTTACTTACACAAAAATATTCTGAGGGCAGAAAGAAAAATTATTATTTCAGAGCGATAACCAATCAGATTATAGAGGAGGCGGGACCAGACAAAACTCCCATGAGCACTGTATCTGCAGAATCAGTCTCCAAGGATGTTTCTAAAGGGTGAAGGAGTTCAGGTTTACTGGTTTGGAACTAGCCGGGATGAATCCTTGAAGGCTTTTCCCAGATGCCAGAGACTTTCGCTCCTGCGTCGTAGACTTCTTTGAGGAAAACCTTACTGGTGTCCTGGGCCCGTGGGTTTTCCATATCCTCAGCCACTTTGTCCCACCGAGTCTGCTTTTAAAAAGCTATAAAGCTACAAATTTGCCTCCGTAATCCCTTTCCACTTATAATTTGGAAGGTTCTCCGGCATGATGTCATCTTCTCCCGGGGAAACGCGACTCGGGAGAATCGATCACCAGGCTGTCAGCCAGCCCAGCACACCCCAGCAATTATTCTGCCCGCCCGTTCAAGCATTTCTTTGTCTTAATCATAATTTGAAGGAGACTTCGTCTCGACGTAGTAAAACGTTTGTCGTTTGTTTTATTGCCATAAAAGGTGAGAAATCCTGCCACGCCCATCTAATGAGCATGTAGGTGGCTGATGCTGGTGTTAGAAATATCTCTCAATGTTAAACCGTTAATTGGACACAGGCACCATTGGAAAAAGTGATGTGATATGGGAAATGTCCTTTCCTGCACCCTTTCTGTTCCATCAGAAGTATTTTTGATAATCTAATAAACCGTTTGCAGTAAACGGGGCCTCAGGCTTCACCTCTCAAGCTCTCTTCCTTCCTGTGGTGCCAGATGTTGCAGAATAATAATGACAGATAACAGATACAGGCTGTGACCAGATTCAGACCAAAGATCAGAACCTTATTCAGAAGTTTTTTTTAAAAAATCATTTAATACGGGAAAGTGGAACCTTTGAATCATGTCCGACCACCGGAGCTTGTGGGCTGCATCGGTGTCTGAGGACTTGAGCAGATCCTGCACCGTCTGTGTCATCTGGCGTTGTGCAGTTTTATAGTCATGGCCGCCCTCATCTGTGCTGTCATCCTGCCGCTGAAGTTGGACTTTTAAAAAAACAGAAACTTACCACCGTTCACATTTATGTGGAGAGAGAGAGAGAACATTGGTGTGAGAATGGAGGTTTTCATTTGTATCAGAGAATCAACAGGACTGTGTGTGCTTTAGTTTATACACTTTATACGCACACTGTTAGAGCTATAATCAGCAGTGAATGCAGAACCATTCATTTAAAAGATTATTACGAAGACACGTGGATGAAAAGTGAGAGCAGAGTTAATAAATCACACATTTGTGCTTCTTCTGGTGAGCCACAATGCCTTAAACCCAAAGTTCACTTCGGCTGTGGCACAACCGATAGAAATTAAAATGGTTCATACTGTAGATGAGGAACAAACCCCCAGAATCGAAAATGTAAAAGGTCACAGGATACATTTTTGATGATTTTTAGCGAGTCAGATGTTTCCATGAGATTGTAGCATTTTGCTACATTCCCTTAAAGGGAAACCAATGAGACTCTCATTCTTTTATATAAATACCCTTGCTGGCTAATTCTGCCTATTCCATCGTGCTTAAAATATCTTTACTTCTGACTACACAGGAAGGTGATAATGGAGCTTTGCTTTTTTTCCAGGTTTCAGAAGAAAGGAATTCCGTGGGAAACTGGCCATCGCCATCACTGCCAACTTCATCAACAGAAACACCACAGCCGAAGCCAAGGTGGAGGAGATCAGCGGCGTGGCCTTCATCTTCAACCAGAAGTTCTTCCTTGAGCTGAAGGAAGAGACAGGTGGGCTCACAAATCCCTTCTGTGTAACAGAATATTCCAGGAGACATGTACCTGGCCTCGTAAATATATGATTACACCTCCAGATCCCTGGGAAGGAGTACTACATTGAGCCATGTATTTTCTAAGCAAATAAAAAATGAAAAAAGAAAGTGAAAGAAAGAACAAGCAAAGAGACAGACAGATAGCTGCTGTATCTGTAAATCAGATGGTAGATTAATCTCGCAGGCTTTAGAAAGCATTCTCTGAATCCACTGTTTAGTGTAGTAGGATAGTTCTGATCCCATTTGCCATATCTATCTTTGCGGGCGTGAATTCTGTTCATTGTGATAAGACTCATACCATTCAAAGTTCATGGATGTTGGCCAGCTGTTCCTGAAGTCAGCACGAGGGGGGAGGGGTGGTTTCTGCTCCCCCTGCCAGTATGGATTTCTCAGTATATTAGACTGTTTTCTCTCCCCACCGACATCTAATCTTAATTAAATCCCCGCGGCCATCGACCATATTGCTGGAGGGGAGCGTGTATCCTGATTGGTTGGTGTTGGTTCGAGAGTCTTGCTTGGTTTTGCAGGCATCGACCTGGAGAACATCGTGTACTACAAGGACAACACTCACTACTTCGTCATGACTGCGAAAAAGCAGAGCCTTCTGGACAAGGGAGTCATCGTCCATGTGAGGAGCGGCATTTCGGGGCTTTGTGCGACTGTGTACTGTTTAAATGCACCCCCTCCTTTGCTATGGCTCATCAGGGTTGACATACAAACATCTCGAAGATAAAAAAAAAAAAATATCCCTCATTCTCAGATGGTGCGGATGCTTTACTCACAATTCATATCTGTCATCACTAACTGCAATGTCTGGGCACGTCACTGTATGACTTGATTCATAAAAATGCAGTGGAACGCAGTGTCTCAACCAAAGTTGTGAAAAGAGGATTAAGTGCCTTGCATAACTATAAACCATTTACTTCTAAATGGCCTCTCTCTCTGGGAAAATATCTATGCTTTCATATGCCAAACATGGACGAGTGAAGAAAAGTTGGTTAATGGCCCGCATGGTGATTAAATTTATGTTTAAATTTAAGGATTGAAGAAATTTACCATACCGGCACCCAGCTTGCTTAAAGGAGGCATAAAAATTTGTTCTAAAACAAATTTATGAGGCAGATCACCTTTTCCTCACCAAGGACCTGGGAAGGCGTCTCCTTTTTTGGCTGTCATCAGCCGACTGATGTCTGGTTTTTAAATGTGAACATCCCACCATGTTTAAATGAGTTTGACTCTGTTAATGCAGAAGGTGACTTCCATTCATGCTACTGAGGGGTCCTCTAATGGTCTTGTCATCAGTAGACTGCTACTCGTCTTATCTGTACTCCTTTGAGAATTAAATAACCATGTGAAGTCTCTAATGAGACTAAAACACTATTAATAATAGTGAAAGCTACTGGCCAGCCTTAGGCTGCAGTGTTTAGAGAGTGTTTACACCACCTGATTAAACGCTTCCAGGGTAGCGTTAGGGTGCGTTAAGTAGAATAAGCTCTAGCACAGCTGAGATTAACATCTACCGGACAGCCACTGAACACACCCCGCGAGTCAAGCCAAGCCACTGGCGAGATGAATTACCAACACTGTCTCCTGCCCCCGTCTCTGACAGGACTACGCCGACACGGAGATGCTGCTCAGCGCCGAGAACGTGCAGCAGGAGGCGCTGCTCTCCTACGCCCGCGAGGCCGCCGACTTTGCCACCGACTACCAGCTGCCCTCGCTGGATTTCGCCATGAACCACAACGGGCAGCCAGACGTCGCCATGTTCGACTTCACCTGCATGTACGCCTCGGAGAACGCGGCGCTGGTGCGGGAGCGATTCGGGCACCGCCTGCTGGTGGCGCTGGTGGGGGACAGCTTGCTGGAGGTGAGCCTGCTCCCCCTAGTGTCCTCCAGGGAATATTCACCAGTGTTCAATTTCTGTCTGGTCCTTTCATTAAATCTTTGTACATCACATTAGTATTTCCGTCGAACCCTTGGACTTTGTTCGTCTAAGGTGTATAAACAAGTATAAAATCACATCATGAACATAAACTTCCAATCTCTGTCATTGATAAGAATTATCTGCTAAGTAAATAAATGATATGCAGCCTTAAAGGTGCAGCTTCTGGACCTTTGACCCCTCTGTCTGTCTAGCCGTTTTGGCCCATGGGCACTGGGTGTGCTCGGGGCTTTCTGGCGGCCTTTGACACCGCGTGGATGACGAAGAGCTGGGCTCAGGGCAGGCCTCCCCTGGAAATCCTGGCAGAGAGGTCAGTGAGATGGCAGCCTGGTTCTACGTGACCCTGCTGGGCTTCCATAGAATACAGGTCACATAATAACGCCAGGTGTTTCCCCCAGGGACAACCAGCCATTTAAACTCAATTTGTGGGTTCTTATATATCATTGCCATTGTCCCTGTAGAACGTAAGGGTATCGCATTCGAATGTCACTGAAGCAAATGCCAATTCTCTACACCGTTCCTGATTTCAGAATCAGGAAAATGGCCGCCCATGTCCATCTTGATGTGTGCTTGACGTGCGTGGGAGAGCGTGAGCGTAATGATGGCTTTATCGTCATGTCTGCATGCAGGGAAAGCCTCTACAGACTGCTGCCTCAGACGACCCCCGAAAACATCACCAAGAACTTTGAACAGTACACTATTGATCCAGTAACCCGGTACCCCAACCTCAACTCCAACTGTGTTAGACCACACCAGGTAAGCTGGTATCGGATGACGAGCGATTGGGAAACATCAAACCCACCATGCTCTACGTTCGGTTTTATACCTAATTAAGCGTGTCCAGTAACATGATAGAAGCATTCACAGTTTGGCTGTGAGCTTTTTTCTCATCCTGGTGTGTTTGGTGATTGGCATATGGCTTCCTTCAAGCTCCGCCCCCTTTGCATCATCCCTTTATGAGCAGCGTGTGACACTAACCCCTCCCTCCCTGTGATCCTCTTTCCCTTCTCCCTTGTCTCAGGTGCGCCACCTGTACATAACGGGGGAATTGCAGCCCGAGTCCCTGGAGCGTGCTGCCTCATTCAGACGACCTGTTAATCTGGGCCGAAGAGGTCAGTGAATGCAGGATCGGTGTCCCCCCCCCCCGCCACAAGTCCTGGTCCCATGCGGGCTGGGCTTGTAAATAACAAAACCAAACAGCTCGTCCGCAAATAAAATCTGGCAGCATGTTTACGCTCGGCTAGACCAGACGATGTCGTCATGTGAGCGGCAGTGTTTCGTAACCGTGGGTGCGTGTAGTACCGCGGGTGATGCAGACACATGAGAAATGGAAGTGCCTCTCTCAAATTAGCTTGACAGTCGACACAGTTTATTAGCAGAAAGAGCACGGGATTGCCAGCATCAGATGCGATTTTATTTTAATCCGGTTTGACGCTTACCACAGAGTCAAGCAGCAGTAGCGATTACTAACACACCACAGAGTAACAGTAATGAGGAAGGGGAATAAGAGCCAGAAGACAACAGAGGAGAGCAAACAATGCACATAGTTTAAGAGACAAAATTGCTCAAGGTCATCCGACTTCCCAGCCTTGTATCTATGGGTCACCATCAGTGGGTCATCACATCATCTGCGGTCATCAATCCTGTATCGACCCTTCGCTCTACCTGTGGTCCTACTATATTTATGGTATCAGTTGGTGTTCATCTCCAGTAAAGGTTATTCAGCCATGTGCACTACTGTGCAGTCTTAGGCAGTCAAAGAAAATGTTTATTACTATTGCTATGTTGATTATATTATTTAACATTAGAACATGTGCAAAATAAACAGCAACACATTAAAAAGTAATCAAGATTTTCTTCTGTTCTCCAAAAAGTAACTGATATCTTGTTGAATGGCTAGATGAACATCGCTTTAGTTCCCAAACATCTCCTCCAGGTGACCACAGTCATTCCATGTATTCATTAAACGTCTCCACCAGCTCAATTAATGAATTAACCTTTTTAGGAGAGATTTTGGCTAAGCTGACAGACTTTGGCAGACATAATATCATAGTTTCACACCAACACGAAGATCAAACTTTTGCACATCACGGTATAAGTGCGAGTGACTGTGTCAGCCTCAATTATAACCAACAAATCAACGACGTGCACAAAACAGCCTTATAAAGTAATAATAAAATAATCTTCACACCTTTCTGCACCTGAGCAATGATTTCCTGGCAGAAGGTTGGTATTTCCAACTAAATTGTGCTGGGAACATTTTGTTTAGCAGTCTAACAATCTCCAGTCTAATGATAAGACCCATGATAAGATGCCCCGATGCCCTCAGTGAGATGAAAGTGCTCGGCCATTGTAGCCTGATTGCCAGCTGACAGTTGTTTTTAGCATTCTCTATCCAGTCCATCCTTCTATAATCACTACAACATATGCCATGTGACATACATTATATTTTAACATGTTCTGGCTCACTGTGAATATTTGGCGAATAACACTTTGAATTACTTCATTCAGTCATTAAGCTCCTAGACATAAAGTGCCTCCATTTTACCCTCGACTTGTGAAAACTGTAGATCTGCTTGTCAATGTCATCTAGACACAAAGACAATATGTGCGAGAAATGCATAGGTAGACCTCCTGTGAAGAATGGTAGAGCTTCACATTCCATGTTAAACAGTGAGACACGTCTTGACGAAAACATACGGCTGTGTTGTGCTCGGAAACTCTCCGCGTCTGTGTATTTGGCTTTAAGAAGAATTCTAAGGATAGTTCCAACTATGACCTCATTATATAACAGCCTGCGGTGTTCCAGAATTCTGCTTTTTTCTTCCAATTTTGGGTGGTTGAGTCGTTCTCATGGTCTCACTGTGCTGGATCTTGCCCACAGAGTCTGAGATCCGGCCCAGTCGGCTGCTGACGTGGTGTCAGAGGCACACGGAGGGCTACAGGAATGTGTGCGTGTCTGACCTCACTTCCTCCTGGAAGAGTGGTCTGGCGCTGTGCGCCCTCATCCACAACTTCAGAGCTGACCTCATGTAAGACATTACCGTGGCTGCCGCACTGATTACAGGACACACCGCACATTAATGCCGACAGAGGCACTGACTGGCTTTCGATTTATCAAATGTCTTTGCTAACACGCTAATATGAAACTCGGACCCCATCTGGCTCGCAGCTGTTCCTTGGTCACCGCGGCGATGGTGATGTAAACATGCGTGTCTGTTGGCTGTTGTCAACATACTAACAGTTTACTCATAGAAATGCTGTCGTTTTTGTCCACTAGGCATATGTGTGGCCTTTTCAGATTTGTTCTGAGGCTCACCAGCGCACAGGCTTTGGGTCCGGTTAGTTAGATTCCAAGTAATCCATCATGGCCAATGTCAGTGGAATGCTGTTGAGGTTGTGTGGTCATGCATTTATATTTGCTTTTCAAGCTATTTATGCAGCTTAGTGAGGTCATATGAGATTACAGATTAAACAACAAGCTATACACATGTGGCTTGTCTTTGTTATCTGGTGGTGGTGACATATGACCTCAGCAGCATTCTGTAAGACAGCTGTTATGTCTAGAATTACATGTCAGATTTAGGGCTTTTACACTTTAATTTCATCATTGACCATTCAGAGCTTTAACCACAATGCGGGGATGTGTTGTATCTGAGTCCTTAAAGTGACTTTGTGAGATGGACCCCAAGAACAACAAACCTGTCCCCTGCCTATGAATAAAATTATTAAGGCTTAATAATTAATGCACATTTGTGATTAAAATCTCCGAATGGTCATGTAGAGGCGCCCCCTCTGATTGTTTTTGGCTAACAGGGTCCCCAAACTCCAGGACCCCCCGGCGATTGGCCGTTTGAATGATGGTAAATGTCACTGTCCACAGGTCTAGTGCCCTGTTTTCATTTTTAGCACAGATGCACAATTTTTAAGTTTTTAAGTCTTTTGGCATGAAAGCCGTTTAACTGGCAGCAATATACAATTTGTTTTTTTGTTATTGTGTCGCAAGCCTGTGATTAATCAATGCAATACTGCGCCTTCTTTTCAAGGTGGTCTGTCACCTCTGCCAGTGAAATTTGTACGCTTCTGTTTCGTCCATCTTACGCCATGAATCTCATATTCAAATGTAACAGTGGCCTATAAATTTCACTAGCCGTTTCTTCACATGTGTGTGTGAGACCGCAGAGAATCCTGAGCTCCTTCTGATACTAGACCATGTGAAACTCTGCTGGAGAAATATTTGGACATCATTTCAGTGAACTTCCATGAGCTATAAGGAGGACCTCGGGTAGTACAATGTTCTATTAGCATTTCCTGCATGTGTCTTTATTGATGTGTGGTCTCTGTTGTCTCCTTAGTGATTTTGATTCGCTCAATGAAGAGGAAAGTGCCAAAAATAACCAAATGGCCTTCGATATCGCCGAGCGCGAGTTTGGCATCCCGCCTGTCACCACCGGAAAGGAGATGGCATCCGATAGGGATCCGGACAAGCTCAACATGGTGTTGTACCTCTCCAAGTTCTACGAGATGTTCCGTGGTGACCCCATACCAGCATCAGGTGACCTTAACTGAGTGTTTTGACTCTGCCTTTGGTTTGGATGGTGCTCTAAGCCAGTTACGTTTGAACTGAAACAAGTAAACAAAAACAGAAAATCTCGATAATTTCATTTCATGTCTTCCATGAAGGTTAACCTTATGGTATTATTCCCCAAAGTGAACTATGGTTATTATATTACCTCCCTTGTGAAAAGAATTACAGAAATTATGTATCCTAGAAACATCTAAGCTTTCGTGTGTTAAACCTGGACATTTTACTCACATGTATCTTTTGTGTGTGATTTTATGGGTGCATGATTTCTTGAGCATTGTGCATACATTGTTGTTTCCCGTAATTCTGATTCACATCAGTACTTTGAATGAAATGTAATTTGAATGAAACGTATTTGTATGTACATATTATTATGGTCTGTCCCAGGCTTCAAAAGGGAAACTGATCAAAATGAAGATTATTCTGGAAAGATCGCCAACTCCATTTCCAATTTAAAGAACTTGTCACTGCCAAGAAAGCGGATACCAAAGGTATTGCTCATGCATTTTCATGTTGCTAAACATGTTACTGAAATATTTTCTTGTGGCAACTTAATGCAGGGCAGAAGTTAGAACAAGCCCAGAATGGCTTTGTTTGAACATCTTGGTAGGAAATCAAGAAAAATGGAACACTGTAAGGACAGGACTATACTTTCAAATAAACTGGGGTTAGATGACAGGGAAAATCCATACATTTTTACAGGCAAATCAAGGGAGGAAATTGATTTGTTCATTTCTTTCAGGGTGAGCAGAAGTCTGATGATAAGGACACGATAAGCAAAAGGCGAAGAAAGTACAGCAATTATTTGGAAGAGGTAGGTATGAATTTGTGGATTTTGGCATCCATTTACACTCATTAATAACCTCAATACCATTTATTTAGCTAGTTGCATTGCACATTTAAGTAGTTTAGCCAAAGTACAATCCTCAGGGGTCCTTTTACAGACTTTAAGAGCCTGCAGTGTCATTGGTCTACCAGACATTCTGCTCTCTGCTGGCAGTCCTGACCTTAAAGTCCTTGTAAGGCTTGATCCGATTCCACCGGCTACACCACAGCCACGCCCCCCATTACCGCTCGTCCTCCCTGGTGTCTTGACAGCTGTACCTGATTCTCCTAAATGTCTAGGCCGTTTAACCGGCCTGTGTGAGAAATTGTCGTCCTATGTCAGTTTATCGAACATCTCAGCCCTGTTTTTACTGGATGCTTGATTCCAATTTCTTGACATTTGCTTCTGTTCCTGACTATGACTCTCATCTCCGGTTTTGGTTTCCTGTTCGCTCTGCGTTTGGGTCCCCTATCCCTGAGCTATCTCATTACAGTCCTGGTACTTCCTGTTGTTTTTTTTTTCTTCACTAGGCCACCAACTTCCCCAGTCAGACTGCCAACTCTGTGGGCGAGGACACAAATCTGAAGGAGAATAAGGTCAAATTCATGGCCACCAAGCTGCAAGCAAAGTTTGAGGAGAATGCCCCCAGCTGCTCTCTCCGCAGGCAGGTCAGACACCCCTTGATCCTTGTCCTGTAAGCTCCCCTTAAAGGAGGGTACCCCCTACTCGGGTTGAGTTACTGCCCTTATGTCCTACATAAACCATTATACTACTCAGTAGCGGTCAACTTTGAACCTGATGTTTTTTTTTATTATTTGGTTTCACAGTTACATCTGGACCTATATATGACATTTTAAGATATTACCGAAGAATCAAACCCTTATGCTTGATAAAACGTACAATGGAAGCATGACATCAGTTTCTGCTACGTTAGGAATGCATGTGAGTTACAGAGTTAATGATTCCAACCAGAACATGGCCATTGTACTAATACAGATGTTCAAATAGTTCTGTTGAATTCTATTCAATTTTCTGTGTAGAAGCTATAACAGTTGATTATATTCAACTCAGAACACAGGTATCAGCATTCTACTTGGCAGTACAGGGCACAGATCAAGTTATAATCTGGAGCTATTGCACGTTTCTGCTAATTAGACATTTGCTTATACAGACACTCCTCTACTTACGAACTTTCAACTCACAAACTTTCAGACATACGAACGAAGAGGACTGTAAGTCCAAATGGTGTTCCTTGGGCTTCCATTTCCTGTCCGCAACATCAATTTTTTTTTTCTGCGCGCCAATTCCGTCTAGTACGACTTCTGGCCGCTACTCCCGCCGCGCAGCAGCGTAGCATGCGTACTCCCAGCATCCTAGTTCTTTGTACTTGTGTATACCCTTAAAATGATGTTGAATAATGACTTACGAACATTTCAAGTTACGAACGGCCATTTGAAACGTAACTCATTCGTAAGTAGAGTAGCATCTGTATTTATTTTGTACATCCAGGAGAGCTGGGACCTCCTTGTTTTAGCAGCCAGGACCTGAATCCATACCAGTAGTCAATGTAGCATATTAGCTCAATTGAACTTGAAAGATTAACTCAAGTTGCGTGACATAAAACTGAACAGCTAATATTACCATTGGTTCATTGTTCTCGTTCTCTGAGGGGTTTTTTTTCCAACAGGGAACAGTTTATCACTCAGGCTGATTTGTTATTCAGAAACGTATTCTGATACTTATCACGTTCTATGGAAGGTCCTTTCTCAGCATCTACTGTAGAAAACTATCATAAATCTACACATTCCCTGGAGTGATTAAGGCAGTGACACCCAGACTGACGTGACCAATGCTGCAGTGTTCCCTTTGTAGGCATAAAGACCTTGTGTTTAACAGTCAGGTAGTATTTACAAAGAGCTGGTGTATTTGCTTAAGGCAGGGCTGGGCCTCTGTTTGTTGTGGTCTCCCCTGCATTTGCATCGCATTCCAATGGCAGCAGCGTCTAAGCTGTGCAAAGTAAGACACTGGCTTTTGGGACATTTTAAACAAATATGGAAGAATTTATTATGTAGTTTATGCAAGTAGATGGAATAGTTTAGACATAAGACATTGCCCTGAGCAAAGCTGCACTGTTCCTAAATGAATCTGAAGTAGTAAATATGACATAAGCTGGTCGCTCATTTGGGATCTGGTATATTTGGGATATAATATATGCATCAACTGGCAACCCTGCAAGTTAGCTCTGTGGTTTAATATATCTTATGCCGTTATTTCTTGCATAACAGTTCTTGTAAGTGAACTTTCCTTTCCTTCCCTTTCCTCTCCTCTCCTTTCCTTTCCTTTCCTTTCCTTTCCTTTCCTGCTAAACCCTTCTACCAAACCTCGCCTCTCCTGACGTGTGTCACCGCTTCTAAAACCTAAAGACCGAGTCTGACTTGGCCACGGCGAAGCCCCCCCGGCCTCGCTCTCTCGACCTTGTCGAGAACCCTCGCTTTGCCAGACCCAAGGACCAAGCCCCGCCTCCCCCTTCATCAAAAAGGCAGGTATGGGCAGCTGCTCTGGACGCACACCGCACGGATCGACACCCCGTGAGGGAAAACCTCAAATGAAACCAAAAGCGGATTTTAAATGACTAGATGCGCGGCATTGGTGTGTGACTTGGCGGGTTACGGGAGTGTGTCTGTGATTTGGAGGTTGTAGGTTCAGATCCCGAGATCAGCAGATGCCCTTGCCCCAGTCACTCCTGGAACTGGATGACCCTTCCTTCAGAAAAATGTCTCACTTTGGATAAAAGCGTCTGCTAAATAAATAAACATGAGCCAGCTAAATCCCTTACATAAGTCCCCCTTCTTGCTGTCGGGTTGTGTTTACTGCCTCCACGGCAAGGTCACCTGCGGGCAGCCCGGAGACCAGAGCCCCGCCGTCACACGCAGACTCTCTTTCCCGTTCCAGCTAGCCCCCCTTGCGAAATGCGCACTGGAATGCGGCACCTCGCCCCCGCCTAGCCCCCCTCCGTACATTCCCAGGGAGCCCCGACAAACGCGCGGCCGGCCCGAGGCCGGCAACTCCGCCCACGTGGATTACCCAGAGTCCCCGGCTTCTTGCCACTCAGCGGTGCTGGTCGTGTCCGGAATGCTCCGGCGGCTCCGATGCCTGGAGGATCATATCAGCGAGGTGACCAGCTGCCCTGCCTGCCTGCGTCCAGCCTGCTGGGCGTCTGCTTTGGGTTTAGGTGCTGCGCTGCACATTTACATTGATTCTAGTGGAGATTAATTTACTTGCTCTTCTAGTATATTTCCCTATAAAATATTTACTATACTTTACTATGGCTGGTAAAATGTATTGCGGCAGTTACTAACGGCACAATTGGCATAATTTCAGGAGATTTCTGTTTCACCTCTATGCAGGCTGTCGCCTTTCCTCAGCAGGTCCCAAACTGCTTCCTCTCTCGATGCAAAAAAACAAAAAAAAACTTTTCATACCAACACAACATCCATGCAAATGGAAATCCCCGAGCGAGATTTAGCGTGCGCTAAATGGCTAATTGTGTTACAGTTCTAGACTGGCTTAGAGGTGGCGCTCGTTCACGGTCTGCCTTTCCTCCCCCTTGCCTGTCGGGACCACGCAGAAGAGAGCTCAGACGCAGAAAGCTAGGGAGTTTCAGAAAAAAAGTATCAAAGAGAAGGCCGTCCACCTCAGCTCCTTGTTCTCTGACCCCATCCAGGTGACTGCTTCCTGCTGTGCTATGCTAGCCTTGCTTTGCCACAGCGCCCCCCTCTGCACATTCTGTGGTATTAACTGCTACCGTCATGCCCATTTGACTATAATAATGCACATAATTTGACGCTGCGTTTTAAAAATCTCCAGCATTTAATAACTGTAACATTAGTCTTTACTGTGACTATTGAGTAGTGTGAATGGGCTTCTACATGGTCATTAAGAATTTATAATGCTTTTTATTATTAATGCCTTTTATTAGCAAAAAATACCTCTCTTACTAAAAGACTTATAAGTAACCCCAGTAAATAATGTGCTGGTTTTGCACAGCCACTGTCATTCATCTGTCCATCTTCCAGCTGCTTCTCCAATGCTGGATAGCAGTTGAGCGGCAGTCATTGAGCTGAAATTTATTTTGTAATCACTCGGTCCTGATTAGCATTGTCTGTCTGAGAGGATGTCTGGTTAATCCAGGAATATCTTTCTCGGAACAATGCTTATGATGCTACTGTGAAGGTAGAGCTTCTCTCCGAGTGTTTTGGAGCCACGTATTGAACCAAAAAGGATGTTGATACGATTCTTGTTCCCTGCGGTTCTGATCTTTAAAGGCAGAACTAATGCCCAAAGACAGCAGGAGGTGTTTTTCCTCCCGATCACACAAGACGATAATTCTCGGTGATTAGATGATCCCGCGGTGGTCTGGTGCAGCCAGTCAGAGGCTTTCGGCCGCCGCCGAGCACTTTACCTTGTCTGATCGCCAAGCACCCAGGTCGCAGTAACAGCAAAAGCCCGCTCCGTGCTCACTTAGCCCTGATGGTTGACCTCCTCTTCATTCACCACCCCCCCCCCCCGCCCACCCCTATTTTGCCCCCATCTCATTATTGGGAATTCCCCTTTCCAACTGGCCTGTTTGCTCTGCACAGACCCACTCGCCTGCTGCCAGGCCCAAACCCTCCACCAGCCAACCTCCCCCAGAATCCTCTGCTCTTTGTTATTCTTCTCCCGCCTTGGTCCCGTCTCCTCCCGGCCAAAGACAGCAGGTAAAAAACCGGCAGAACCCCCTGCCCCCCCCCCAACCCGCCTCTCTCCTCATAGCGGCATGGGTTGATAGCAGCCGTGGCCCGCAAACACGCACAGCTGTGCCCGGGAGGTTTCCGCGCTGTTTGGAGATCCCCGCTGGCTCCCCCATTCCCCGGGGGGGCTGTTAGTCAGACACACAGACGGATGTTGCTGCATTTCATTCCGGTTTGTCATTCATGCCTCAAGTCCTCCGCCCCCAGTCTCTGCATGATCCCGTGCTCCTGTGTCTGAGTAAAAAAAAATGGAACAAGAAGAAAAATCACTAAGGAGGCAGAGGGACATGGGGAACCTTGGGGACACGGTGGCCGATGTCACCTCCTGCCCCAGCACACTACCCAGAGCCCCCCCAGTTCATTCAATCGCCCTTCATTCACATCACCTGTCAGTGGAGTTTGTCAGAGTGTGTTAATGAAGGGTTTTGGTTATGAATTAGCACTCTAAAGTAATTACAGCGATAATCATAGATGCCGGAGCCCCACGGGTGCGCTTGATGTATAATCTTCTTGTTTATATAGTAACATGCCAGTTGACAAAGCGAGAGACCCTCTGAGGTGTGACTCGTCATGTCTGCCGTTCATTCTCTGACCCTCTCTCGTCACGTTCTGCTGGATGCCGCGTCCCCTGTCCTTTCGCCGGAATTAACTCTGTTCTTTCCTCTGGTCGTAGTGCGACGGTAATAGCAGCTCGCGTCTGATTTTTCCAAAAGCTGCAGAAATGCCTCAAGCTAGTGAGCCTCAGAACGTCACGTCTTCAAAGCAGGTAGAGAGGTGGCGGTGGGGTGTACACCTGCATGGATCGCCTGCTTGTTTAGCGGTATTTTTGTTCACTTACGATGGCCTTTAACCAAAAAAATCAAGTTATTCTGCACGAAGAAAAACTGCTGGTATGTTTGGGCTTTTTTAAACAGGACAACTAATTCACTACTTAAAACAACAACTACTGTTTACTATTATGCTTTTTGTGATCGCCACCCCCCCTAACTTCACTGATTGCTATGAGAGAGTGTCCCTCTAGCCCAACTTCATTAGCAGCCCACTTTATCTTCATTACTCATTGGAACCAGAAGAAAACAAATAATTTTTAGAGGGCAGTAGATAGTGGCTCTGGAAAGGCACACTGCCATGAAATGTGTCTCTCCGCTTAGGACACCCCACCTTACGCATATACGCCTTAGGGTTGCGTGCTGACGGTGGCTTGGGCGGTATTACGGTCCCCGGCCCCGCCCCCGCTCAGCAAATTTTGTTTTTTAAACTACCGTCAAAATACTGTATACCACAGTATAATGTCTGAACAATATGATGGTATTAAAACTAGTTACTGAAGTCTAATGCTGGCTGATGGGGGGGTGGTAAAATTTACTGACCGCTTGGGGCAGGATTATGACGGTCAAACTTTTGGCTAATTTTACTGCCGCTGGATAGTGGGATGACTGATTTCCGGAACATTGTGCATCATTCACTTCGCAGAAACGCCAGGACTCCTGGGAGAGGTGGGCTGTCTGCAGTTTGGACGTTTGTTTCCATTTTGGATATTGATCTGATACTCAAAAACTGCTGCATGTATCTCAGATTAATACGACATATTCAGATTAAGCACTACACTGGGATGCCACAGCAGATCATAGATTCTTTCTCAGTACTTGGGTGTTTCTCAATACCAAGACCGTAAAGATCGTACTTGTGTTCTTGGCAAGAGCTATCTTGCTAACTCGTCTTCCAAGAACGAACTTGGGACCCAGTGAATCATGGGATCCGTCTTATTTAGTGAGGATGTCATCACTACACCCTTGATATTTGGGGCGGGGCAAAAACGACATCCAGGGATTTTTACCGTCTTTTGTACTTCTGTTCTTAGTATTGGAACTGGTCTTCGGCAATGGAAGATGACATAAAATGAGTGTGCAAGAACACAAGTACAGTGAAGTATGCGTATTGGGAAACATCCCCTGTCCATATCTCACTGGCCACTGTTTGCCCTATCAGAGCTCAGAAAGCTTTCATCTGTTTTCCTGTTGCCTCTTTCTCTCTCTTGCCCTCTTTCTCTCCACCTTGCCTTTTTCCTCAGAGCTGGGCCCTGTCCCCTTGTCCCTCTCACAGCCCTGTCCTCCCTTTCTCTCCCTGTCTCCGCCTTGCCCTGTCAGCGGACCGTGGGGAAGGTGTCCCTGGTCATAGGTGCCATGGCTGAAACACTAGCCACGCTCTATGAGACCGATCACAGGCCTCACGCCATGCGTCTTCCTGCCCCACTGGTAAGCAGCCCAACTGGAGTGGGCAAGCCAGAAGTCCGTGCCCGCTGAAGCAGTACTTCACCTGGAATATAAAACAGTTTAAATATGTGGTGCATGGGCGGCCGATGAATGTGTCCAGCAAGTGTCCAGCATGCACGGTATTTCAGTTAATGGAAGCCCCAGCCAGCTGCCTTCTGCCGGGTCCTGCTGAGTAGAACCAGAAATATTCAGCAAGTATGAGACACAGCAGATGGACCCGCAGCAGCTGAATCTCACTCCGCCCTGCAGGCCACTTTCGATCCCTTTGGGAGCTGCATTTCTGACATAAGAAGTGCATCTTTGTGCCACGCAAGCATGATTTTTTTGTGTTGGTTCTCGCCCTAAAGAACAGCAGCCCTTCATGAAGTAGCCTAAGGGTACTTTTCCACCACACCCCCAGTTTGGTGATTTCGGCACTTTCCCTTTTCCATTGACTTGTGGTCGTGCACTAGTACCAAAAGTTCAAGTGCCTAAAGTACCAAACCAGCTGAGGTACTTTTTTGGTAATTCGGTACTTTTGGGTGGGACTTGCAAAGTGTTCATTGTCAATTTGGTTATTAAGCTAATAGCAATGCAGCACCATGCAACCACTGAGCTGCAAACTCAGAAAACAATGATAAACAGAGTAAAAAACAATAATAATACAATAATAGTCATGATAAAATATGCGTGGAGAAATGAAGAGACTCGAGCTTTAATTGCGATCTGGTCAGAAGAACAGATATAACAAGATCGGGATGGTATGACAAGAAATTAAAAAAATATTTTGTATAATATTCTAGGGCAGCATGGTGTTGGAAAAAACAGAATATATCACAGTGTGATTTTGTTGTAAGAAATATCGGGATATTTATTTGTAAAGCAAAAAGGAGTTTGAACGGATGAAAATGACTGGAAAGCGCATGCAGCTCTCATGCAGAAGCAGTTGCGGTAAACTTTACACTGATTGTTTCAACATATACTTGGTAATCTAGAACATGGAACAGTCGTTAAAACTGCAATGCTTGCAAATTTTTGTTACCTATGATAAAGTAAAAACATTTTAGTGAAACTTCAACCCCTGAAGTTCTGAATAGTGTGAAGGTATGAAAAAGCCTGTCGCAGTCTTTGCAGTACGAGAATTGCATGTGCATAAAATGCTATGTTGGTAATAATATCACACATCACCCAGCCGTGTAATATGCTATAGCCATTTTTCAAATTCTTTACTTTTCTGAAGTACCAAAATAGGAATTTCCTATAAGGCGGAAAAGAATGTAAATCAACTGGTTATTTCTGTTATCTATTACATCACATCATTATTGTGTGACATCAGGTAAGGACCTGAGACCTAAAACTTGTCGAGAATCATAATGCACTATAACAGTGTTAGTAGAAGTATAGACCAGTGATTCAGGTTACCGTGATTTTTTTTCCCAGCCATGTGGTATTTGCTCCAAAAAATTTGAGAAGCCACTGGTGAAGACAGTGACTGCAGTGCTTGTGGTGCAGGGGTGGGGAACCTGTTCCATGGAGAGCCGGTGCGGGTTTTTGGGGTGACCTCTCCATCAGCCAATAATAAAGCAGTGGTTCTTGGCTCCAGTCCTGGGGACCCGCTGTTATTGGCTGATTGTGAGGTCATCCCAAAAACCCTCACCGGCCCTCCATGGATCAGGTTCCCCACCCCTGTTGTTGTGGGAAGCATCTAACCTGTGGTCTAGATGGCTTTATAGGAAAATCTTCTGATAATTATCACATCAATGTGCCCAAACTTGCCATCTTGATATGTGTCACCATGTGAGGGCAGCAAGCCTGCGTTATTGACCAGTCTTCCGTTGGTGGTCTCAAAGCCCTTGACAGTGAATCTGATGCTGGATCTACCCCCCATCCCCCATTTTCCCAGGGTTCCCTGCGGAGGGAGTTCCCGCCAAGCCTGGGCGGCAGTGACACGTGCCACTTCTGCCAAAAGCGTGTGTACGTGATGGAACGGCTCAGTGCTGAGGGGCTGTTCTTCCACAGGGAGTGCTTCCGCTGTGACACCTGCAGTACCACACTCCGCCTGGGGGGGCAGGCTTTCGACTCCGACCAGGGTACGGACGGAACATGCAAAATGTTTACTGCTGTTTTTAATAATAATTATTTATTGTTATTATTATTATGCCATCACTTGGCAGGTGGAGGTATTTCTTCAAAGTTTATGGCTTTACAATAATTGTGTATTTTAAAAAATTTATCATATCAATTCACAATACACGAACTCAGCCATACTCCTGCTGCCATGGAGACGTGCGTAATTTGTCAGATAATGTAAGCCATTGTCTTTTCTTCCTGCATTACCATTTGTAACTGATACCTGTGTTTATAGGCAAGTTCTACTGCAAGCTTCATTTCGCTCAACAGAAAGCACTCATCAAGCACAGGAGGAGGACAGTCGAACTCCAGAAGGTAACCGGAGAAGCTCGCAAATGATCAGTACAAGCCGTCTTCTATTTTAAGCTCTGGAAGACCTTAATCTGCACAGTGACACATATATATCAGGTAGTGTAGCAAAATGGTCCTTGAAAATTTTGACAGTAACTGACTTACTTGGATGTCTTTAGATCTTAAGCTTGTAAATGTACTCCAAACAGTGTGTCATGTGACTTTGTTTTAGGGGGATCAGGAGGTGGGGGCCCAGGGGGGCTCGGTGACGACGGCCCCCGATGGGAAAGTTCCCCACTCAGCCGACAGTGTCCCGGAGAGCCAGCCAGCAGGTACTGCCAGCTCTTTCTTTAGGAGAAGCCTGATGCCCGTGACGTGGGCCTTGACGGAGGTGCCCCGCCAGCTGTCCCGCCGTCTCTGTGGCGCCGCGCGGGCCGCCGGCCTCCACCTGGGGGAGCATGCGGCGGAGTACGGCTTCCTGTTCGAGCTGCTGAGCCTGGGCCTGCCGCTGCTGTGCGTGCTGCACGAGGTGGTGGCCCAGATGCTGGAAGAGGTCGGGCCCCTTTCCACCCACCAGCTGGTGCTGTGGGCAGAGCAGCAGCTGGGGGTCAGGCTCCTGTAACAAGCCCCAGGCCTACGGGTCTACACCCAGTTAAGGGTCTACACCCAGTTAGGGGTCTACACCCAGTTAAGGGTCTACACCCAGTGCGGCACGGTACCTTGTGTTCGGATGATGGCCGCTGTCTGACCATGTACACAAGCACTTGCTTCTTACTCTGCTGGTACAGATTCTTGGGATATTGAATCAAGCTGACTGATTGGCCTGAAGTAGATGTTATAACAATTTTTTCTATTGGGATATCAGCCAAACAGGAAGTGCTTTAAAAGGCTGTTTGTGATCTTGAATGAATAAATGCACAACCTCTAGCATGGCGGAGGGTTATGTGCACTTTGGGATGGTGGCTTTTACGTCACCTGTAAAGTTATGCTGTCCAGTTCAAACCAGGCTATCTGATACTGACTGAAGAACTATTTGTACATCTGGCTTATTCAGCTTCCAGCCTTGATTTGTTTTTTGGGCTCAGCTCAGGTTACAGGTTTTTTTTTTTTACTAAAAAGTAGCCAAAGTGGACTCACTGGAAGCACTTTATTTGAGGAGCTGACAGGGCTGTACTTTCTGGATGGGACAGAGCCGGCGAGAGTCCTCCGGCTGCAAATGATCAGGAGCATGATGCTGTTCCTTTGCCTTATAAACCGCGTTACGTTCTGACCAAAGCCTTGTTAGCCATGGTATTACCAAGCATTTAGCAATTGACAAACATTAGTTTTTTTAGCAGCATTTAGCATTTACTATTAAGAAACGGTTCCTGAAAACTAGCTGTGACCATAAATGTAAATATTTTTATCATGCACTGTATTTGTAATTTTTTCTCTTTCCATTGTTATAGTATACATCATGCGTTGGACAACTGTCGACAGTTTTAGGACTTGTCAGGCTATAAGAAAATGTTTACACTCAAAATCAGGACTTTGCATATTGCTGTATTTTGTATCCTCTTCTGAAACTGATCAGTATTTTGCGGTGTAAGATGGAGCAATACATTGGATTGCAGGGAGTAATATCTTTACTGGTGGCAGTTTACATTGCACATCTTTGTACATCATAATACTGTACATTTGATAAATGCAGGTTAGAGGTATTCAGTCAACTTGTTCCTTTCTATTATCAAGAGGTTTAGCAAATATTTTATGAATGAAAGTGAACACTTTGAATAGGGAGGCCTACTTGCTAAGATACTTGGTGAAATTTTTGTGTTATTAATTATGAATTAAGTATTAATTAAACGTTAAGCATTGGCACACGTTCATGATAACAGAATTCAACATGTTGAACTGAATACTAGCATTTCAAATGCCACGACTGTCTGTTTGATCTCTGTGGGAGATTCGAAATGTCACTTAAATCGTCTGCAGTCATGTAAAACGGCTCAGATGTTCATGTGTGTTTGTATGGACATATTTCATCCGACATCCATATTTGAAGGGTCTTGGACAGATACAATGTTATGTTTATCAAAAGCTTTCTGTTTTGTAGAGCACTGATGCCATTTTGTGCCTTATGTTCGTTCAGCTGAGCGTTGCCACATCAGTCACAGTAGAGTAATTCACTTTTGTATGTTGTGACTGGTATCCACTGGAACGTGGATAAAATCATTCTGCTGCATGGAACACAAGAAACCTTCTGTTGGGAGAACCAAATGATTCCACATGAATATTAAGTATTACAATCACACGATTATCCCAAAAGAACCACCATGTGGTTGATTCACTGTCTGAACCTACTGCTTGCACAGCGTGAAGCTAAATGATGTTTGTTAATTAATCATGCAGTCATGGTTTACTCTATTCTGTGTGTAGGAATGTACTTTATGTGTAGCGGTGGAAGCATGAGATTGCAAGTCGAAAGTGAGAGGTTACAGTCCCACGTATTATGTTAACAAGATGCAGGAAAACCAATGAATTCCAATGAAAAAAGACAGTAACACTTTACATAAGGCCATGTTTTAGTAATTTATAAACACATTCATAGCAAATAATAATGCATTCATAAAGCATTATAAACATGGCTATAAGTATTTATCAAAAGGCAATGTTACAGCAATGTTTATTATGCATTATGAATGCTTTATGAAGCTCTCATCTACAGTGCGCTATGTATATCTTTATAATGCATCATAATGGTTGGTATAAGCATTAAGGATGCTTTTTACTGCATTATAAAGGTGTCTATAGTGTATTATATTTTTCTATATTCATAATTCATAATAAACATGGCCATAATGTGTTATGCCTTTTTATAAATATTTATAGCCATGTTTATCATGCATTATGAATGTGTTTATAAACTACTAAAAACATGGCCTTAAATAAAGTCTTACCAAAAAGGATTATATACTATATTCAAAGGATTATAGTAACAGCACAGCTATTATTCATGGAATGTTGAGAATATTCTGTCTGACTCTGCCAGGCCATGTCTTCCAGACTCTTCATTTCACCCACTTTCTTATGGTTACATGTTTATATGGACATTTCTGTGACTCTTACTAATACGTGATTTCTACCTGTTCTCTTTTCCCACCTTTCCTTTCCCAATTTTCATTATTCCATTTTGTCCTGATTTACTTGTAGTTTGTTTCGAGTTTCCACTGCTGCAACCTCTGATTGGCTGAATCGTGACAGCAGGAAGGTGATGACCTGCATGGTCATGTGGTCACATGCACTACTTCTGATTGGCTGCCTTCATGAATCAGAATTAACCATTCATGTTGAGAATGCTGGGTCTTGTGTATTAAAGCATGCAAACTCTTTTTGACACCTCTGTCATCCACATTGTCTGCACCTTCAGAGCCTCTAAATTAGGGAAAAGATAGCAAATAAAAATAGCTGCACATTTTAGGAGCCAAAACGTATTTAGTTGCACTTTTGAGCTTGTCACACTAACCGGCATGTTCTGACCATGCATCTGCTTCTGACATCCCTATCCTGCGTGCTGGAGGCCTGAGTGTCTGAGAGATGCTTGCTTATAACATGGCCCATTTCTCTTCACCTGAAAATAACCTCCATCACATCTCCATGTCTTTCTGTATGTTCCAGAAGCTGCTTACTTTTCAGAAAGTCATGCTGGAGCTCTCTTTTGCCTTCTGAGCAAATTGGGATTCATTGCTCCTCAGAAGACCGCAATTATGCACATTTTTACAAAACTCATAATCAGATTTGTCTTATAGATGTATGACTGTATTTTTAAGAATACATTTGAAAGCCTGTATTCTGCACAGTAGGGGGAAAAATGTTTCCCTTCATTCATATTCGAAACTGTACATATAAATAAACTGATTGCATCACTCACTTGCTTCATTTTTTTTCATTACTATAACTGGAATGTTTGGAAAATGATGTATCTTGATGAATCCAAAATTGTCTATATATCGCCTTTGCTAATAGTATGGCATCACCACTTTTGAAGACCAGACCAGACCCATCCTTTTTGGTGGGCTTTTTCTTATTGGTCAGTGTTGTCATGGTGCGTGACAAGGTTTGCATTAGATGCAAATCATCGGCGCATTAGAAGCTTCAGCCACGAGCCTCTCACAGTTACTGTCGCAGGCCTCAGCTTAGGGACCTTCCTAAAGCTTACATCCCAGTGGAAATATTCTGGGGACCATATTCAGTCTCAGCACAACTTTATTATGATCTTATTGTGCTTTTGGAAGGAGACAGAACTCTGTTTCTGTACCATGCAAATGTAAACACTGCAGCCAGCTCAGATACTCTTGGACCCTTTGCTTGTAATGCATGGTTAGCAACCCAGTCTGTCTGACAAGACTGGCCTTTTTGAGTCATTCATTCTCTCTGTTCTGCGAAGTGGTCAGCTACTGCAATGCAGCAATTTCCCCTTAATTTCAAGATATTTATATTTCCATATTTAAGGTTAATTTCAAAACCAGCATCTGGCCCTTGACAAAACAATTGTCACATTTTGAAATGAACCATAATATTGCTTGATGCCTTAATACAACAGACCCACTACTGAAGTCCACGAATCATTGGGTTCCAGTACACAGATACTTAGAACCAGGCAAAAGATTCTCCAAACTGTGGTGCTACTGTCTGGGGTTTCCTCTGTTCTGTTCTATCCCCTCCAGCTGTGCCCCCACCAGGCCGTCCGGGTGTGATCATCCAGTAAAATGAAGATTTGTTCTCAACAGAACATAACATAGATCTCTGCATTTTCCAGTGTCATTCTTCCATGATGTAAATGACAATTATGTAAAATTTGTATGACAAAAAATGTTTTGTTACCTGCAGGTGCTTTGGAGAAGATAGACACATAAGTGCCAGCAGATGATTGCAGATCACATTTCTCATGATCATATCATGTCACCACACTGGCTATGTAATAATTATTGCTTTTGACCCCCAGAGAGATCAAGAGGGGTCATCGCTTCCCAGAGTGCAATAGGAGTTTCTAGTACGTCTTTTGATAGAATTAGTGCCATAGACTGGAAGCCAAGCCAGCTGGTCCACGATTCCTGCATTCATTTCTGCCCTGCGCCTGACACACATTGCCAGCAGCGGAGCCCGTTTCCACTCATTAACGGGAACAAAGGGAATTGGCAGGGCAGTAATTGTATCCCCCGCCACCTGATTACAGGGTGAGGGCCGCTTACTTCCGCATTTCGGGGCGAGGCGCTTCCCAGCTACCAGGCTATGGGCAGCAGATGTTTTCACAGCTGCCTCCAGCGAGTGGAGATGATGAAATAACATTTACACAAGGGGCGGCCCACCCATCAGTCTAAACACTGTCCGACCAACATCCACATTCAAAACAGGTGCTTAAAGAAGGTATGATAGATGACAATGAGTTGCCTACAGTATATGCTCATAATGATGTTTCATCCACTATAGCATGATAGCTGCAATCCTTTAAACATCAGCCTCATTCACATTTTACCTTGATAACTGTATCACTATTGATTGTTACACTTACCTGGTCTATCGTCAATCCACTTTTTTCCCTGTCAGTACACTGAAGATAGGAATGCATTTAAAGCACAGTCTGATTACAGTCCATCAATTAATCTATCAATCAATGCACCAATCACGTTTGTCACAAAGCTCTTGATGAGTGATTCCCAGTGCAGGAAATTGTGAAAATCATTCCCTAAGCCACTCAAAGAAGATGATTATCCAGTACTCCTTGAAATAGTATCATGATGGAAGACAGTAACTGGGGGAGGGTGATTACAGCCCAGAGATCCGGGAGGATCATGGTCTGTGATCCAGGCAGGAGACTGACGACGGACCCATGCAACTGTGTGGAAACTGTGTCAATATACTGGGTCAGGCCAGCATGTGGGTCAATTCTCTAGACACCATTGGAGGCCGGTTATGTGGGTCCAGCTGATGATCTGGTAGCTCAGGGCCAGATGGCCCAAAGAGAGAAGCAGAAGGGAGAGCAGCAAAGGAAAAGAGGTTAAGCCACAATCAGCATTAATCGGGTTTGTTACGACATAGTGGTGGAATGGCGGTAAACCAATATACTGCAGTCACAGCTTGGAAAAAAAACACCAATATCTCTTCTATATATAGAATAAATATTACAGATTTGGAAATACGACCCACCAAATGGTCTGTGATGAAGTACAGGGAGGGGCGGATGTAAAAGGGACTTTACTGGGGAATGACAGTGGAGATGGGTTTAGCAAAACAGCAGGGAGGAACAGAAATGAATGACAGATTCAGCATTACGGGGGGGGGGGGCACAGGTCGAGGGGAAGCAGAGCGAGGGTTGAAGCTGCTTTGGGGCGTCTGCGTGTTTTCTAGAATGAAAAATAACCAAACTCAGATTCAAGTTATGATGGTTAATAAGGCAGAGGTGGAGTGAATGAATATGTCAGTCACAAGCCACCGTTATCTTGTGGTGCGTTGATTAAAAAAATTAATCAATATGCAAACAAAATCAAACTGGGGGGGGGGGGGCTCTTGTAATATATTTTTATTATTCATTTAGCACCTAAACCTTGTCAATGCAGTTTTATTTTCACCCTTTAAGGTGAGAACAAATTTCCTTTATATTGGCTGGGTCATTGAGCGTGTATTTTTTTTTATCATTTTGAGCCAATGAGCACTAATAGAAGCGTAAAAACAACTAATAAACACTTTTTTCTTTATTGCTGTACTTAACGTCCATAACGGATGTGAGTGGACTTCATGCAGCTTTACTGCTATATGTTTCTGAAACAGGCCGCATGAGATACAGTAGGACCCTGACAGACAGAGGTAAACCAGCCTCAGACCGAAAAGGAGACAGGGAGCGAACGGCATTATACTCAGCTCTGAAACAATGGGAAGCTGGTTTAAATCATACTGGTATGTCTCTTCTGTGCCAAAGCTTGTTCTGCCCAGTCATTGTCAATGCGAACGTGGCAACCCGATAAGCAGGGGTTACCCCCAAATTATATACAGTATCTATGCCCATAGGAATGCTGGGGAACCACAAACTCACTTAACAACAATCTAAATCATTTAAGGAAACACTGTCCTTTCGCAAGCGAATTACATCTCAAAAGCAGATTAAAATGTGAAAGTTCTGTTATCATGTTCTTATCTTTTCGGTTTTCATTATGCATTCCATGTTTTGACTGCTCATTTCCATCTCAACAGAATTTCCCTGTTTTATGCTAATAGGGAAAAGGTCTTCGACACATTCCAAGAACTTGTCAAGTGGATTAATTACATTTAGCATCAAAGATCATCAACGTCTCTGAAATATCTCACTGTATTGTTGACATGTTTACTACAACCTGATTACTACCGTTGCATAGGCCTCTAATTTTGATGGCTAGGCTATATTTTTCTAATATTCGTATCAGTAGTAAGTCAACGTTTTAGATGGTCTTCCAGCTCACTGGATCTACCACACGTTTTTCCTCTGTAGTGAAAGTTGCTGTAGTGAATGCCATGCGCCTGACACACATTATTCATCAGCCTCTTATGCAGTCAGTCTCAAGGGTAATTCAGAGTCCATCCTGGGAAGGAACGAGTGAAACATACCCTGTGTGTGTGAGTTTGTGTTTACCACATTGTGGGGACCGAACTGTTACTTTTTAGCTTGTGGGGATATTTTTCAGGTCCCCACAATATAAACCAATTTTATAAAAATCTGTGAATTCAATCAAAAAAATGCCTGTATTTTGATTGGTTACCTATAGTTAAGGCTAGGGCTGGCTAGGGGTTAAGGTTGTCATTGCTGGGATTAGAGGTATTACCCATAGAAATGAATGGAGAGTCCCCATAAAACATGAATACAAATTGTGTGTGTGTGTGTGTGTGTGTGCACGCATACTCTGCCTTGAGCCCTATTCTTTCCAGTATAAGATCCTGATCTCTATGACTAGGATAATAAGTACAGTGGGTGGTTGCTATAAATGGATGGGTTTGCAGAACTGCACAATTGCCATTGATGAATCTGTTGTGGAAATGCTTCTCTGTGTGGATCCTTTAGAGAGCTGCCTCCAGCCGCTGGAGACGCAGGCCGGCATAGAGACACATAGCGGTACTCTCCAGACAGCCTGTTCGGCCCCCAGCGCAACCACAGAGATTGTGCAGACGCTTGTCACGGAAGTCACCCCACGAGCGTAAGTGCCACATCATCGCCATAGTTATTCATTCTGGTGTCGGTATGTCCTCTCTGGTGGTGTGAAGGAGCTTAATGCACTCGCTGAATTCATTGGTGGTCTCAGGGCTATGCGTGGTAAAAAGTGCTATTTCCCAACCCAGTCCTTATGGACCCCCCAAACAATCCACATTTTTGGTCTCTCCCAGCTCCTGACACACCTTTACCAGGTATTCGGTGTTCGTGATTGGCTGGGAGCTAGGAGGGAACAAAAACGTGGACTGTTTGGGGGTCCCCGAGGAGTGGGTTGGGAAACACTGGTATAAAGGACCGTGGAGAGCAGGATACGGAGAACAGACCACACACCCTGCAGGTTATTAAGCTGTAAAGAGAAACTTTACTATATTTTGGAGCTAAACTGTCTTGGTAAATTTAGCATAATTATAGGGTACTATTCATAAGTTGATTTGGGTAGTAAAAATAACCTTAAAAATGCCTAATAAAAAATTAAAAGGAACAGAAGACTAAGGCTAAATTAGTTCCACCTTGACTTTGACCGGGTAATCAGCCGTAACCAGGCACGGGATCCGATCCCATCTGGGCGAGATTTCAGCAGTCAGCAAACACCTACTGCTCCCTGTGTTCGTGGGCCCAGTTTAGCAGTAATGGAGAGGGGGTCACAATCTGCTTCTGCCTCTGGAGATCAAAGTTCTGGCTCTTCCTGCTCGCAATGAAAACCGCTTACAGACATGAGAATCGAAGAACAAACAAACCTTACTGCCTTTGAAATGGGAGCAATAAAGTGGAGCCGGGGCAGCTTTGAAAAAGCTTCCGCCCTCCCTGGGCCGCCGTGTCATGTGGTTCCGAGCGCGGTGATGCGCGCCGGTGCACGATTGGAGGCGGTGTGACATGTCTGCTTCCCTGCTCACCTCAGCTCGGATCCAGAAGGGTCAGACGGACCTGACATCACACATTCCTCACCTCTGGGGATCCAGCGCAGATCACCCTGGCCTGCTGCGGGAGGCTTGGGGGCGTCCCACGGTGAGCAGCCCCTGAAACTCGCTTCCCACATGTCACCATGGCAACCAGGACAACACCAACCTAAACACTGTCAAAGGCTATATCCCAGTGAAGTTACACCCTGCCCAGACCCCTTTGCTGATAAGATACCACCTTCTCTTCCCTACCTCCCTTCCATATCCAGTGCCCTTGAGAGGTCATTTAAAGCCCGTGTCTACTATGTGCCCCCCCGCTATCGTACAGTGTCTGGGAGGGGGGGGGCTGGCTCTGAGCCAGAGGGAGACATTAAACACACGTTTGACTTGGCGGTGGTGTTACGGTGAGCTCCATGGCAGTCGTGCGCACAGAGCACCGGACGTTTGCGCCAGGAAAATCCACACGCTGGACCGGCCTTAAGCTCCCTCTGCGTCACTGTCCGACTGTGACACCTCTCGCGATGTTCATTTCCAGCGTGACAGGAAGGCTCAAAATACACTTTCGATCTGTGCCGATGAAATACGATGAGTTAATCGCCCCTAGAATGTCAGTGAGATTCATTGCCAGTGTAAGGAGTCTTCTACAAAGGTATGATTTAGTACTAAGCAGGCTTTAGGGATATTTCTAGAGAAAATCACAGAAATGTCACAATAAAAATGTCTTGAATTCCCAAAAAGCATTCTGGAACATTTTTTGTGCTGTGTGTCCATCCACATTGCATAAAATGTTCCCCTTTTATAATTTATAATACTTTCAAGGTAAAGCATTCATATATTATAGAAAGTATCATTTCATTTTAAAGCTGTAATTCCATAGCAACTGTGATGTAGTTTAACTGCTGTATTTTTATCAATGCAGACATCAGAGGGAATCCTTCTGTAGACTAGATAATGCAGTTATGAACGCATGTTCACTTCTGGGTACTTTTTAAATTCATTTTGCAAACAGCACCAATGAATTGACTTGGCTTGCAATGCCACCCACTGGCCAAATGGACTTTACATTCCTTGTTGTGATATTTCTTGTAAATGAATACATTTGCAAATACATAGATGTATCCAGTCCCCCTCCAACCTCTCTCCTTCTTTGGTTATGTGTCAGCACCCTGTTACACCCTTCAGCAAAAAATTTGGAATGAGGTGAACCAAGGGGAAACATTATTTAGGTGTTCCAGATGTTCTAATCGGATCTATTCTCATCTAACTTTATGAAATGATTTGTAAACCATTGTTTTAACAAGGTCATTTGTGTTGGGGCTATCACGTTTCTCATAATGTGTTTATTAAATTGATTAATTAATAGCACCTAATATTAAACTAAATCTGTTAGGGTTACATGTTACAGAGCCAATTGAACCTTAAATAGGCCTTAGGCCAAGTTATGATTTTCATTATGTTTTCTCACCTTGATACTGATCAGCTCAGCTTCATAATTTGAATATAGAGTTTGGAAAACAGCAAGATAAAATATACATGACATACATTGTTTTCCAAGACTCTGACCAATACGTATGCATGGATGGATGGATTGATGGATGGATTTTTTCACTGCTCAAATTTCAGGAGACACTGACTTGCGTTAAATAACAATGGCACTAGGGGGTGCTAACGGCTACTGAAAACCGATTTTTATGCACGACAGAAGTCAAGGCTTCAATGACCAGAGTTTTCATGTATTTACTTCTGGTACTCTGGCTTCCTTCCTTAGTCGAGAGGCATTGGGCCTAGGTGAACTGGCCACTCTGAGTTGTCTGCAGGATAAATTTGTGTGCGCAAAAGTGTCCCACAATGCACTGGTGTTGGTCTCCATCTTAAACTCCATGGGTCTTGGATAGATCTAAACCCTGCATGGCATTTGTATGGGTGTTCAGAGGACGCCTCACTTATTCATGGGTGGACAGATAATACCTCAACTTATCTATGGGAAAAGGGCTTTGCTCTTCTGCTACATTAGGAGATCTGGTCTGCTGAGGAGGATCCATTCTATACTCTTCATGGGTGCCTTGCAGTGCTAGGCTTAGCTTTGTGTGTGGTGTGTAAACATTCACACTGTGTCTTTTCGGCCAGCACTTCCCGGAGTCAAGGTAACCGCAGGTGATTGTGGGAAGACAGCAGACCCAAGTATGGACCACTGGGGCCAAGGCCAGGTGAGTAGAGAGACTCGGGACTTCAGGAAGGTCAGCTCCTGTTTTTTGTGATTCGCTGGCACATGTATCATCCGCCGCAGAATTCTGGCAAAATAAAATGAAAAATCGCAATTGCTAAAGTTGCTTATGTTGTGTGATCTGCCAGAAAATTGCATGTGCAGCGCTCAGTTTTTTCTTACCACCTGAGCACCAAGTATTTTTCTTTTTTTCTGATTGGAGAACACATGGATCTTTCCTGCTGAAGTATCTCTAACATGAATAATCACGATTTACATGCATCTGATTCAACTGCCATCTCATAAATGATTCATAATATGGTTATTGTATTGTTGTCATACTGTTATGTAACAAAGGTTCATTAGTGCTACAGAATTCTGTGTTTTTTTTTTAATAACATTCTGTTCCCCAGGTTTCACCGGGCAGCCCAATAACTCCCCCAGGATCTCCCAGTTTGTTCCTGTTTGAAAACCCCTTGCATTCCCCAGGTCCATCATCCCCAGAGTGTCAACCTACATCCGTAACACCCAAATGTCCCAAACCAATCGAGGGGCAGCCAGATGAGCAGTTGCCGTCTTCTGGGAAGAAGAAGCTGACGATTTCTCAGCTTGAGAGAGAGAAGCTTTTGCAGTGGGACTTGGATAGCCCTGATGAACCAGAGACCCAGGACACGGCAGAATCGGCAAGGATTTTTGGCAGACCCAGCGACCAAAAGGCCAACTGTGAGATCTCCATAACTCCTCCTGTCACCATTCCTACATCTGCCCCAGCCCAGAGTCACCCTCCACAGTCACCATTCCAGCTGGTGGCTAACACCCTCATGAGATCTTTTGGGCATGGCTCACCTTCATCCACCTCAAGTGCGACCAGAAGGAGCAGCTCCCAGAACAGCAGGCCTCCCTCTGAAGGCTCTTTCAAACTTAGCTCCCTCTTGTGGGGGAAGACAGGTTGGGACCACAATTCCAATTCCAAGGGAGGGGGACAGAATGTGCTACCAGGCCCATCACTCAACCCAACTGCGATACCCAAAACGTCTAGTGTGTTAGAGCTGCCCAATTTACTCGAGAACGTCTCTCTGGGAGAGGAGTCTGGGAGGATCTCCAAGGACGACATGGCCATTGTGTCACATAAGAACTTGAACTTCTTCTCCTCCCTGAGAGTCAAGAAAACTGACAGCATGACAAAGAGGGTGACTGAGGGTCAGGAGAATGACATCTGGTCCATGGTCTCGAACCTCAGAAAAAAAGGTACGGGTACAAATATTTGAGATGACAGAACGTGGCATGTTAGCTTGAATAAGCATTCATCTGACAGGTCAATGTAAAGCCTTTAAGGTCATTCCATACAATAATTTAGGTCTTGTCCCTTCTACAGTTTTCTGTGTTAAGCTGTCTTTTCCACATAAAAAACATTCTTTGGTGTGAGCATATGTAGCATGCAGACTCAACATCAAAGGTAAGCAGACGACATGGGCTTTGACTCACGCTTTAGGTATCAGCGTCTGTTTGTCATCTCCCACCTTGGTCATCGAGAGGAGCCAAACTGGCTGACAAGCAGCCCTGCCCTAACCATGTTAGCTCCCATTACTTCCTCAGCATCAAACACTTAGGCTTCTTGAAGCCGCGTGCCTTTTAAGTTGAGTGATGGATCCTAACCAAGTTTCTCTGTGGCAAGGCAATGTGAGATTTAACTTCATTCTTCCCTAGTTGCCTCTTTTGTTTCCTTTTTACCTGTTTGTAATATTTATCCCGCTGTATTTATTTTAACCAGACTCCCTTTGGCCAGTTCCCTTACACTGACCAGATGCCTTGATGTAGATACAAGTGCCAGATGCTACAGGATAAGCTACCTAGGGGTAATCTAACTAATAACTGGCTCACAATATTCAATCCAATTATGCAGAGAGTGAAGCTCACTGAGTGATTTAAGCCTGGTGCACTCTCACTGCTTATGCAATTGGAGTGAACAGATACCTAGTTTAAAATATTGAATTGGCAAGATTATCTGTTTGGGAATTAAATTATTTGTTCTGTGAGTGCAGTATGTCATGCTTGGGGACAGGGGGCATGAGAGTTCAGGATTTACTGTGACCAGCGATGCAGGATAAACCAGGCCACCTGTCGCTACATGCGCTGCCTGGACAATATCTGCCCGTTGGTGGGGGGACATGGGAAAACCACATTAAATGAAATGCGATTCGTATCAAGGAATCTAGCGATAGCTCATGAAATTAAGGAATCTTTATGAAAAGCATGATATTGCCATGAAAGTTGAAAAAATTAACACATAGAAAATGAAGACCACAAACCATGAAATTAAATCACATTCCCTTAGCTTTCATTCTCGGTGTCAGGCCTCTCACTTCTGATGCCCGGTGGCTACTCGTCGTTCAGTGAGGTAAGCAGCCCTCTACGGGGGACCTGATAGACAAACGGATGGTTATGTAAGCGATTGATGGTGTATCGTTAACGACTGAAACGGGACGTCCTGAAATACGATCCAGCGTCTGTGATTGGAGGATGGCAGGAGCTTATCCTGAGCATCATCCTATGATGTCAGCCTCAGTTGAAGGTTCTTCCTTCTTTTTAATCATTCATTACTCGACTGAATGTCAGTGTGCATTTCAGCAGCAACGAGGCACGTTAAGCACAGGAGTGTGAGATCCTGGACAACTGCTGCACTACTCCAACAGGTGGTGCTTAGCTTTATCTCTGCCTGCAAAGAATTTCTGCTTTGGACCTTTTGAAAAGAGCACTGACATCCTGTTAACGCGGTAACTGACCAACTGAGCACTGACATCCTGTTAACGCGGTACCCGACCAACTGAGCACTGACCAAAACAGAAAAAGCTATTTTTACAGCAGAGACTTGGGCTGAAATTGAATCAATTTTTTGTCATTTCTTCGAGCACAGAGACACACACCCAGTCTATTCAATAATACTCTAACTGGAATTGCAATAGTTTCATATTTTAAAATAATGTATTTTTAAAAATGAGTGACCATAAATCCTATTTCGCCAACCACACTCCTGTAGTGTTCAGGGCTGCCAAGCCCAGGAAACTTACTTTGTTTTGTGTTAAAAACGAAACAAATTAACCAGATAACCTTAGAAGGCTATAGGTTAACTGCGTAACCCTTATTCATGTCTATAGCATTACCTTCACTCTTCATGCTGGAATTGGTCAGAGCATCGCTGTTCGCCGTTAGTTGAATTTGGGATCCCTGGTGCTCCTGTTATATGAAACATATCAAATCAATCAATCAAATAGGCTTTTATTGTCAATTCCCTATATGTTCATAACATACAAGGGAATCGAAATGCTGTTCCTGCACCTTCACGCTCCCGTTTATCTTGTCCCCTCCTTGGTGCCGCAGTCTCCAGCCAGGAGCAGCGGGGCTCCAGTTCCTCCAGTGAAGACGAGAGCGCCGTTAGCAGCCCGAAGGTGAAGCCTTTCGACCAATCAGATGTGGCCTGTACCAGCAAGAAGTCAACAAAAAGATTAATAAGAGGGACCATCTAATCCATAATGTATTAGAGAGGGATTATCATGATGCCCAGAGAAGCAAAGCATGGAGCAGTCGGATAGGTTTACATAGGGATGGGAAAATCCCACCCTTACCGTGAACGGCCATTTCTACTCATTCCTTTTTGGGCCTTTTAGAATACTTATAAAAAAATAACTTTAATGAAGTGTAGAACAGAAACCCAAGAGGTCGTTTTTATATCAAAATCAATATGAGGAGAGACATGCTTTTAAGCTGAAAAGGACATTAAGTGTGTGACTGATGGAGTGTCAGGTGTAATTGCCTGGCCTTGAAGGACAGTTTGGCGATCGGGTTGCAGAATGAAGCGTCAGTGTCTTGCCGCTGGAAGGACGCATTCTGTAGCGGCAAAGGTCGCTGTACGCATGGGAGGGCAGCAGGTGGCGTAATAGTGAAGGAGCTGGCCTGGAGATCAAAAGCGCCGTGCGGTGTGTGGTGATTTCACCATTGAGCAAGGCCCTTAACCCCCAATTACTCTAGGGATTGTTGACCCTGCTTCCTGAAATGTACGGTGCTTCGGATAAATGTAGATACCAGTGCCAGATGCTACAGGATAAGCTACCTAGTGCCGCAATGTAGAATAAAATGCTTCACCAGTTTGGGTTAAATTTATGTGTTTATCAGTATGTAAGGCGTTACATGTCATGCGGTGTCTCCAGAAGGATAGCCCCTCTCTGAAGCAGAAGAGGAGGCAGGAGAGGACCATGCTGCAGAAGGCACGACAGGAGCAGCTGAAGCGGCTCCACAGAGCTCAGGTGCAAAACACACAACCTTCCGGCACGACTGTGACATGATGACCTCGCCGGTTGCAAAGTTCACTTCCCACTGACTGAATTACAGAAAGAAAGTGTGTGGTATATGGCTGCATTTCTGTGACGCGCTGAGGCGGCATGGCATGCTGTGGGTGGGTTTCATGCGCAGGTCATCCAGAGGCAGCTGGAGGAGGCGGAGGAGAAGCAGAGGGCTCTGGAGGAGAACGGGGTTACCTTGGAGAAAATGCTGAGGGGCGAGATGGGTGAGTCCTGCATAATCGGAGCTGGTGGGACATTTTGCAGGGTTTTTAAAACACGGGGGGGTTTGTGTGGACTGGGGTGGATTCTCCAGGGAGAACCTCCATCCTTGTATCCAAAGTGCTTCTTCACCATTCTTCACCTGCTGAGGGTGCTGCCCGATCTTTGCGGCCTTTTTGAAGTCGCATTGTCCCTTTACCCACTTGAATGACTTTATTGGAAGACACCTGGACAGGAACACGTTGGGAACAAGAAAGGATTTAACCTTTTGTTCTTGTTCTACTTCAAAGTACTCGTAGATCTGAAGGTTGATGGGAATCTAAATTGAAGGGAATTAAGTGCTCTTGGGTTGGGGAGCAGAGTCACTACTTAGGTCCTCATGCCCCTGTCCCAATACGCGCAGAACACTCTTCATGCACTCTTTTGGAGTGACGTGTACTTTCATCCAGCCTCCCTAGTGTACACTCAAACCTCACCGCCCTTTCAGAGCTTCATCGATTCCCCCAGTAGGCCGGACACGTTGGTCCTTTACTTATGGCTGAGGTCGTACCACTCAGCGCGGTCATCAGCATGAGTGTGAAGCAGCTGCGGCGGGGGGGGGGGGGGGGGGGCAGCAGTGCGGAGTCAGGGTGCCCTCTGTGGACCCAGCGAACAGCCCATACATCCTGTATACCTGCCATGTGGGGTATGCGCTCGGGTCCAGACACAGTGAGGACAGAGCGGCCTATCGACTGATGGTGGAGGGGGGAGCTATTTTGGGCAAGTATCTGGGCCCACGGTGTAACCCCTTGATGGGAGTTGGTGTGGAGAGGGGGGGGGAGGGGCTGCCCGTACGAGGTTGGGGGAGGGCGCGGTGAAGTCAGTGGGTACGTGTGCCCGGCAGAGCTAAGGTCTCAGCAGGGCCCTGGAGCCCTAAGCTCAGATCAAAGAGATCAAACACCAGCCCAGGGGGGAGCACTAAGAAAAACAGGAGACTTGCCAAGGGTGAGGGGCTGCTGTCTCTCGGCGGACGGATATGAAATCCTACCTACCGAGCGCGGAGATGAATTTCATTACCTCCAGTCCATGCTTCCAAAGAGCAGAAGTCCTGCTGCGCGACGATGAATAAGCGCGCGACATTTACACATGCAAAACGGGGGAACGCAAAAGCATCCGCTATATAAAATAACTCACGTTACGCCGCTTATCCAAACCGGGCTCTGACATATGGGTCATGTGACGTGGGAAGCGGGCGCAAACGGGATGTCGGATTTCTGAGGCCGGAACACGTGTCCTGCGCCTCCACCGTCACCCGTCTCCGCTGTCTCTGTGGCTCACAATGGCACAGCGTGAGGCATCTGCCGGATAAACGGGAATCCAGTGCGGAGGTCAGCCCTGAGCGGGAGAGTTCCCCTTTCCCTCTCCGATTCCCTGTTGAGATGAGGCCAAATCACTATGTGACTAATGATTAAAGTGGTAGAACATTTATTGTCATTACTTTAATGGCTCGGAACCAAAGGGGCCGGAGAGACTCGCTCCTTCCATGGAGGCTTCAGGGGCAAAAAAAAAAAAACGGGTTTACGGATTGAAATGATTTGCATTCAAACAAAATTACAATTTGAAGTTGGAATTATTCTGAAATTACGGCCAGGGTAATGGGCCTTCTGAAAAGGAAGATGGTCCGCGTGGGCTTTGAAATGACGACGTTTCATTATTTTAGCATACCGTGGAATATGCACCTTGTTGTTAAGTCAAACCGTTCTTTTAAAAGGAAAAATATGGCAAAATGCTGAATGCGTCTGTCCCCTTTCAGCAGTATTTACCGATTGAATTGGTGCGGCGTTGCCTGTGGATCTGCAGGCCGCATTTCACCACGTGCCTGTAGCAGTTGTATAATCCTGTTCTGAGGCGTGTCTTGCTGTTTTGCGCCCATGGGTGTAAATTACGGGGGGGGGTGAGGGGGGTTGTAGCCCCCCCCCCAATAAATCAAAACCAGCTAATACAACCCCCCCAATAATTATTTTTCTCCCGTAATGGGTGGAGACCTCAACACCCCCCAATGTTCCAACCAAAGTTACGCCCTTGTTTGCACCACCCATAACGTTTGGCACGACCCTCAAAACCCAAAGACAAAAGCATCAAACTATACGAGTAGCACAATGTTCCTCTTTCATTAAAGCACAGACCTCATCGCGATGCCGGACAGGAATGTTTGTTTCGGGTGTCGGGTTCAGTGCTAAACGCCACGCCAGACAATGAGTCTCCTCATTTTTGACGTAGTGACCCGATCGCCGACTGAATCCCTCCCCCGAGTCTCCAGTACAGTGTGGCTTCACGGCAGATTTTAGCACATAACTGTATGGAAAATGTTCCTTCTAATGACAGCCTGAGGCAAGACAGTGTGCACTGTGGGTCCTGTTTATGCAGCTTTGTTCGGATAATTGCGTTAATGGGGAGGTGTGGGTGGGGGTGGGGGGGGGGGGGTTAAGGGGACACACAGTGAATGATCCTTTGTTAACCGGCATTATTCATGAACCCAAACTAGTTTGAGAAGAGATAGGAGTAGGTGGGGAAACAAAAGGCCAGAGATGAATTTGAATTTTAAAAATGATCCTCATGTTCTGACAAGAAACAATGCATCAGTGCGTCCCTTGTAATGTGTTATTTTTGTATTTTTCGTACTGAAAATAAATTCTGCCTAGTGCTCAGAAAACTTGTTCTAGTGTACTTATAAAGATAAAATAAGATTTTTTTTTTTTACAAAAACAGTTACCAACAAAGGAAATAGATAAATCCCCAAAACGAATTAATTATTCCCCAAAGGAAATAAATGATGATGATGAACGAATAAATAGTACATTTGGAAAAGAGGAAATAATAAAGACAAACAGAACCAGTGCCAGAACATTTTCTAGGAGTGTCCCTGGACAGAACCACAGGGTTGGGGTTAATTGGTGAAACGACGTAAAAGTAAATCACAGAAAAAGTCATTTAGTGGACATTGTCTGCATTGATACATTCATAAATCTGGATATTTTTATGAAGAATTTCAAGTTGCAACCTATCTGAAGGGTGCAACATCTTTAAAATGATTTAAAATGTTTTTTTTGTCGTTTTTATTATTTATTGCTGGTGCTGTTTTTATGAACAAATTAGCAAATTAATCCATGGATTGCTTAGTATATGATGATTGGCCAGTTCCACGTCAGCTTTGTTGCGTACGCTAAACACAATTGTCCTGACGGGGGCACTGACGTCCGGAAACTACATTCGCCGCGTTTAGACCAGGGCAGAGTGTGGCGCGCGCCGCCGCACGCAATGCGCACGCTCTGAATCCCGCTCCTCTCCGCTCGCTTGAAGACGGCTGCCCCTGCGATGAAGCCGAGCTTCTGCAAACCTGGTACAGGCTGGTGCTGGAGAAGAACAGATTGGGAAACTATGAGTCTGAGCTCATGATCTTGTGAGTAAAAGCCAGTGAATTCACCTGACACAACACAAAAGTGAAATTAGCAAGTGCCCTCTGTTCACCATTAATTGTCTTATACCTTTAGCACAAAAATCCAAGACTTTTTATCTATCAATTAATTTCGTATAATTTAATCATTATGTAGAGTGAATATATAGAAGAACGCAATAATGATGACAATGATGATGATGATAATAATAATAATAATAATAATGCACTAGACTCCCCTAAGTTCATAGGCGTATTACATTGTAAAGGAACATGGAATATCATGTATTAATGTCTTCTTATTAATATCCTGTTTAGGCATATACTACCCACCAAGAGCATGCTAATTATTAATAGTCATACATAATTGATAAAAATCCCTAAATTATAATTGCTTTTATGTAGCCTGTCAGCTAGCAGTCTGTTTATATTTTTTATTGCATCACCACAACCCTATAACATGAGCAGTTATGAAAGAATTGATGATTGGGTATGTTATTGTATTTAATCGGTTGTTCTCCTTATTTGCCGTTGACTCAGCAATGGCCTTCTTCCGTTAATCCTTTTGCCCTAGTATCTGGATTCCGTACTTGAGGTTATTCGGCGCAGACTCAGCTGCCCCAAGCATGTTGCTTGTGGTCTCCTCTGACTGTTTCTCCCATTAGTGCACAGGAACTGGAGCTGGAAGACACCCAAAGTCAACTGCAGCAGAAGCTTTGGCACAGCATGGCCATCGAAGGTGGGCGACATACACCAGACAGTTGCACACATGCGAATGGAACACTGGCATCAATATACAACTCATTTTGTGCTCCTGCTTAAAGCCCCGATCCACATCATGTGCAATTTGTGTCACCTAATGATTTTGAAATGTTAGGTAGCCATTACTAACTGCGTTTCTATCTGGTTACTAGTTCTGCTCAAAAGCAATTGAGCCTAATACCGTCTTTCTTTGAAGCTTCTGCTTGTAACAATATTCTCAGGCTGAAAAACGCACAAGGCATGAATAGAAACTATGATTTCTTTTAATTATATTCAGTGTATTTTTCTCAGTGATGGAAACAGCTGAAATTTTCCCATGGGTTATTAGTGATGTCATTGCAGTATTATGTCTGAAAATTTTTGGTATGACGAGATCGATACGGGGGAATTAAAAGAAGCCATTGTACAATCATTCTCCCCCGAAGAGTCATTAAGCTTTGAGCCTGGGAAATAATAACAGACAGGTAGTCTGTCGATACCGTTTCCACCTTATCCATGGAAACAATTGTGAAGAATGCTTCGCAGTGGGTGGTCTGTCTTTTAGAAGTACCTCAGTACTTTGCCAGCTACAACCGATAGCCTTTATCTGTGCTATAGTTACACGATCCTAGATTTTTTTTAGGATTTCAAACATAGTCAGTGGTATTATTACATGGCATGTTGTATCTTGTATAATTAATTAGAACTCAAGCGATCCAACCATCAACCCATCCAACATAAAACAACAGATGCTATTTATTGTGCAGCCCTAGATTTTAGCAAAATTAGTATGATACAGGAGCAAATGTCCTCATTAAAGGAGCCAATTCTGTAAAGTACAATTATTTTTTATTTATCAGTGTGAAATGCCTTGAAAAAAGGGTATACTTGGGGAAAAAAAGATCCTCATATTTGGTTATTTGGGCACATTATTTGATTATGAAGATCCCAGTATGTCATAGTGTTCCATGTCACCACAATCCCATCTGTCCTCCACTACAGACTCCAGGAAGAGCCCCCAGGAGCTGTCAGAGGAGCAACAGATGTTTGCTGAGATGATGAGGGTGGTGGAGAAGAGGGATACGCTGGTGGCTCTGCTGGAGGAGAAGCGGATCAGCGAGAGCACCGACGGCCGGGACTTGGAGAGCATAGTGCACCAGTTCCACTGGACTTGAGGCGATGGGCACGGTGCATGCCTGCCGCTGCTGCCCATTCTAGCGTCTGCTAGCCAGAGGCTGTGCGCCTTGTGTCAGACCTGACTGAACCACCATAAACAACGGGAGAATGCACGTACCTGACATATCTGTTTATGAGAATGCACTCAAATGCTAAATGACCATGCAGGACCTCCTTAGTTGGCCTGCTTCAGAGGTCCTGGCACCTTTCTTCTGAGTAGGACCTCAGAGGAACTGGCTACACTTGATGACCATCTGACTGTGCTTTCCTTTGCTGTATACTGCAAGAAACGAAGGAGTATTGGTACAGTAACGGTGCTGCCTGCTCATTTAAACATTGACTTGGGACAAGCTAAGCTACATTTATTAATACTAGGCATGAGATCAAAAAGCGGGTCTTCCAGCATTTACCCCCTCAGCTGTTCATAACATAATTGATATTCCTTTGTCAGGTACCTCCCCAGTGACATCATAGATTATGCTTATTTCCGTCTTTATTTATAATAATTGGTTTTATGAAAGTGACATTTCAATTACTTTGCAATGGATTTTTCGCATTGATTAAAATATTATAATTCAAATTACACCAGAATCAGAATGGCTTTTATTCACGAAACACATTGACAATAATGTACAAAGAATTTTTTTTCCTGGTTGTTTGGTATATAGAATCAGGCATCTAGATCATTAGGAGTGTTGTAGGGTATGTGACCGAACATACTGCAAAGGAATATGTATATCGGTAAACGCAGAATTAAATTACGGAAATGGGCAGGTATAAGGAGTGTGTGGTGCAGAGGAGCAGAGACGGAGTTCCGTACTGCGGGGTGTTTGAGTGTCAGGTGCAAGGCAAACAAGGTAGAGTGCAAGATCAATAACTACTCAACACCGAGGCGGTCTTGGAGCTCGACAGTGTGACTTATTCGCATTATAGCTTAGAGTTAAAAATGTTTCACAAAACACTCGTTTTCACACATTTGCTTATTGGATCTCATAAGCATTCTGTTTTATAGCTGGGGGTGATAAAAACTTTTAAAGCACTATTTTTTTACAAAGGAATTCAGATATTTATGGTATGTGATTACTTTTTTGCGACTTGCTTTTTCATAATTTTTTGAAGGTGACGTTGGTGCCACTGACCTCCGCGGATGTGGATCCGAGTCCTGCCGTTGCTTTGCGTGTGTAAATTCCCCAGATATTGTACTTAGTTCCTCTATGCACAGGTTTCGTATACAATCCAAAGACACGCAATTACGTTAACTGGCATCTCCAAATTGCCCACAGTGTATCACTCTGTGTGACAAACAGTTTACCCAGGACCTAGTGGCACCGTGTGATATAATAATATAATAGTCTACTCAAACTTTTAACAGCTAAGATCCTACCCTTTAAAAGTCGTTATTTATACAAGATTCTGTACGATGATATTTTAAGATGATCGGGTGAATAATTAAGCTAAAAACAGGAAGCCGAACGCTTTGATTTTTGTACGGTTTTTATCATTTACATTCTAAATATCATCGCTTTAATTTAACAGCGCGAGAGCGTCCAGTTGCGCGTTTAGCACGTTCAGATGAGGCAGAATGTTGCGTCTGTATTATTAACACTAAAATTTACGGGTCTCCCCCCTGATATCCAGCGCATAAACACCGTAAAAGCACAGTCCAGCACACCTACAGCTCTCCCGGAAAAATATGGGAGGGGACATGGGCGATAACTAGGAAAGCTGACATCCGAAGGCTGGGCAAATACTTGGGATTCCGCTTCCGTTTCAAACGGGGGAAACTTTCGCAGAATCCGAAAATACATAGCCGCAAGTGATCTGATTTATAATCCAAATCAGAGTACACCCCAGCGATGGCTACTTCACCGCAGAAATCTCCGTCTTCGCCCAAATCTCCGACTCCTAAATCGCCACCTTCGAGAAAGAAGGATGACTCGTTTCTTGGGAAACTTGGAGGAACTTTGGCGAGAAGAAAGAAAGCTAAGGAAGGTATCTAAAATATAATTTACATCTGTAACAAGCTTATACAGAAAATACATATCTTTTCCTCCTAAGTTGTATGATTTGTTCATTTTAAGTTACATGTAACAGAAATATATATTTTTTTAAGTATTTTATACATTTTGAGAGGAAAGTGCTTAACTTTGTTTTAGAATAAAACACAAATAATTACTCGTGGATGTTTTCAAAATAATAATACTAATAAAAACTTAGTCGACTACAAACTTTAGTGGCTCCTAAATGCCAGACATCTTGGGTTAGGCTGAGTGACGTCACGACGCAGCCATGTTTGGTTGTAGTTTTAAAAACCAGTTAAAATACAATTTATTTCTTATAAACTATGCGGCCAGCGCAAATCTCTCGCTTTAGTGTTATGAAAGCTAGGGAAATCAGATTACCGCTAATGTTAACATTATGTATAAGATTTCGTGAATTGAGAAAATGCTAATGTATTTGCGGAATCCATATCCCTTAGCTATGTTTAATTCCCACAGTTAATATGTAAAAATATGGTGCATTACAATGCAGCTAGCTCATTATTATTGTATTGGGATTGCTCAACCCTTATTATATTTAGGCGAGTATTTATATGCCTAGTGCCTAGTAAAGAAAGGAAAAAAACTTATTTTGTGTTATAAGCTGATGCTAACATTTTGATTACGTGAAGGGTCAGAAATGTGAAATTCATGTTGCTGCAGCTAACAAAATCAGAGCATTCCAGACACCATGTTTAACAATCCTTCTTATCAATGTGTGCCTTGATACCCCAGTGACAATGCAAAAACACCAGCATGTCGGTGACTGAATTGCGGCTGATGGCGGCTCTGACTGCGGGCTGATCAACAGGCAGCATCAGGCCGGGCTGTGCGGAAACATCCCTGTGTTTACAGCAGCCTCAGGCTCTCTGCTGCTGCCATGTAAGGAAGAGGCGGCCCATCTCCTATAGGGAGGGACAGCCTCGCATTCCCGGGGCCGATTTGAGGATAGTTTAAGGTTAGCTTTACCATATAGGGTGGTCAGGGCGTCCGTTTAGCTTTTCAAGTAAAATATATTGCTATATAATTTTAATTTTTGTAAAATCAAAAGCCTACACCACGAAACAAGATTTGTTTAAACGCTGATGAATGCAACATTTGTTAAACTATACTAATTATTAGGATGCAGAATACATAAAAATAGATGCTTTGTGAATGCATCTGCCATTCATCAGATGAGTGTTCCTCCCCGAAGCGGTTCATTCTGTTCCCAGAGCGCGCGTGTGTTATGATGCGTCAGTGTCAATCAGGGCCGCGCGCGCGGGGGGCTGCAGCTGCGCTCGCGTGCTGCTGCGCATGGCGGCGGCCTGGCATGCCTGCAGGACTGATTCGATTTGATGGAGGGCCTCTCCACTCCCATGTGGCAGTAGCATATTCAATTATGAACGTTGAGCCATTCGCAGCGATCGCGAGCGAGGTATGGTGGGGGGAGGGGGGGTCTCGAAAATAGGATGGCGATGGAGCGGCTGTCTTCTCAGAAGGACCAAATGAGTAAGAGAAAAGGGAGACGAGAGATGTTGCAGATAGGAAAAAAAAGCACGAGCTTATAGGATGTGTAGAGGAAATAGCTGGTTGTGACCCTTCTTCTCCACCAGTAAGTAATGAATAGGAATGAATAAATGTAAACCTAGACTCTCAAGGTTAGGGTGATGAACGAAGGCATGTGGAGTGCGTTTTGAGTGGTAAGCATTTATAAATAGGGAAAATTATTATATCTCTAAGGCTTATTCTGTTACTCACAATGTAGCCTGCCTGTCTATTATTATTATTATTTACTTCAGCATTTAAGCTCTCATATTCATCACCCACCTAGTTGATGTAAACAGCTGTTCTCTACCCGAATGTTCATCACTTATTAGGTGATGATGCACGTTAATATGCCGGGGGGTAATTATGTGGTTGGGGTTTCTGTAGGGGCCTGCCTGGGAATTCGGCCAGGACACTGGGGTCAGCCGTGTATTCTTCTCGTTGAGTGCCATTGCATTCTTAATGACTGGGGATTAATGTGTCATCCAAAGGACAGCTTCCACTCCAGTACAGTGTCATCTTCACTGGGCTGAGGCTTTGCTGTGTTTGTTTTTGCCGGGAAAAGGGGGGGGGGGGGGGGAATCTCCTAATGGGGAACCAATCCCAGCGCAGGGTTTTCTCAGGTAGCCTCCCATCCGAGAGCGTGGCTGGAGAAATATTCTTATATGTATAAAAGACTTGCTTCTTATATGCGTTGATGGTCATTGGCAAATTACATTCTATTGAGAAATTATTTACAATAATAAACTTTGACACACAAACTTACTGTTACCTATATTAAACTGATTTTCCAGGTCTTACCAATTCATGTAGTATGTTTATTTTACGATGAATTATAAACTGTTGCCTGTTTTTCATCGTTGTCTTTATGCTCATGTATTTGTAACTTATTGCAACTCTGAGTATTCAGACCCCTTAATGCTTAGTAAAACTTGGCGGCAATAATATGGAATGTGGTTTGGTGAAGTCTCCCCCAACTTGTTGTAGTTTGTGCCCATTTTTGATTTTCTTTTTCTGGCACATTCTATCAGGCTCTCTCCAGTTGCACTGGGAGTTTTATGTAGAGTTGCTTTGAACAGATTCTTATTTTGACAAATTCTCTGTAGGATTGAGAATTTATTTTTTTTTTTGTACAATTTTTCAGATTTCACCACAAAATCAGGTTTGTATTCGTACTGGCACACTGGCTATATTCACCAGTATTTTAATGATACTTACTCTTAGAAAACAGTCAAGTCAAATAAATCTTTATTGTCATCTCAGCCATGTACTGTACTCAGTGGGAAAAAAATAGCATTTACATTTTCCCATTTATCTTGCGCCTCAGTCCAAAGCTACTCGCAGCAGGGGGAAGGGTTATAACTTACATGTGCTCCCTGGGATCGGAACCCATGGCCTTTCCAGTGTAGTGCAGTGCTCTGCTTGTTGAGCTACAGGGGCTTAAATGGTGTTCCTTCTGTGACTTTCATGACAGACCAAACATTACAGTGTTTTTGGAATAATTCACATAGTGCAAAAAATTCCTATACAGTTGTTAATAATTAAAGGCGAGGGGAGAGAGAAGGAAGATGACAACTATCTAGGAAAACATTATGTAGTACTTAACGTTAACATTATAATTATTATTATTATTATTATTATTATTCTACCGACACAGGGATCCTTCTTAAAGTAAATGTGTACAGTGGCATACATAAGGTCTATAGTTATCCATGGTTATTTATTTATTAATTTTTGCATTTACTCAAACATAAATAATGAAATATATTTACAGTCTTCAAGGTGCAGTGAGGTTTTCAGTTGACTTGGTTGAGTAAGTTCTGCTGAGGGTCTTTCTGGATGAGACTGGCATTAATATGAACGTGGTACAATGTCTGCCAGCCTACATTTTTGTAGAAAATGATCAGTCATATACACTGAAGGCCTTGGGACGCTTGCTTAGTTCAGTAAAAATTATGCAAAATTATTCATTTTCTAACAAAAATCTTTATTCATCTCTTTACAAAAATATATATCACATTGGAAACAATCAGCAGTTTTAAATAGTAATGAATTGAAACCCAAATTTATAGTTCCAATATATCAGTTATGAGTTCATTGAGGAGCAGTTTCATTGGGCGCTTTTTAATTAGAAACATCTTTTCAATAACATAAAACACTAACATTTGTGTTCAGTATCCCTTTGGGAGCCAGTGACAACAATTGCAATTAATAGCAAAATAGCAAGAACGCAAGAACAGAACTCAGTCAGTTAAAAAAAAATTATGACACTTTAAAATAACTGTGATATTTACAAATATGATAAACATTGCTTGTCAATTGACTTTTGTTATAAAGCCAGTAAATTGGCAACATTTTTATAGAATTAAGCAAGCTCTGTATTTTTTATCTATCAACCTTTTTTCTAACCCAACTCTTCTTGTGTACAGTGATTTATATTTGCACAAATCCACTGGAAAATAACAATGATGAGATAATAAAGTGAGTCACACGCTGCATTCTGTTCATCTCCGCAGAGTCTGATATCTGATCCCTTGTGAAATCAGACAGGAAGTGATTAATGGGGGAAATGTGCGGCTTTTTGGTAGCAGTGAGAATTGAGTCAGGGCGTCGCATTAGCACACGCGCATGGGCGCAGACTGGCGCGCATGCTCTGCTGCAAACATTTTTATCGTAAAATAATGTTACTCTGCCATTCCTGTATTTTTGTGAAACGAGGTTTGGTTACCCATGCATTATGCGTTTTATGCACCATGTGCAACGTCACACGACTCTTTCGTTTTGTGTTATTCCCTTTCAGCGAGAACAACAGCCTGGAATGATTTACCTCCATTACCTGTCATCGTTTTTTGTCCTGTATGTTAAAATTTCAGCGGGTTGGGGGATAAATGGAGGAATAGTCATTTTTTCACAGTTGAATTAGATTGTTACAGATGTTGTTGTTTTGTTGTGAAGAAATAAATGTTTTTTATGTCAGGTTTTTTTTTCCCCCGTCTGTGAATTTGAGAAGCTTGGGAGGGGGGCATGGCAGGAAAGTCTCAGCTCTGCTTTGGTGGGAAGATGGCAGGCGCTGGTGTTGATTAACAGGATGTCGACCTTCTGGGGGGGGGGGCACTTCAGGCATAGAATCTTAGCAGCATATACCCATATGAAGACACACTGGCAGTGCAGTTCCTCTCTGCTGCAACCCTGTCACCGCCGACAATTATTGTGGGGGGGCGGGGGGGGGGGGTTTGTGTGGCATATGTATGGATGTGTGGAGGTCTTAATATTCCTGCAAGCGTGACCCCGCGTGACATCAGATGTGCCATGTAGGATGATCAAGGCAGGACCGGCGTACTTATAGACGCAGCGTGAATTTGTGCTTGGATTAATGAGTTCCTGCCACCTGGAAAGATGGGTGTAGCTTGAGTTTGGGGGGATCCAGTGTGACACCTACACAGGGATCACACAGTAGTGCCTGACTGAGCTCTTCATTGCAAAACTAATTATCTTTCTTAGTGTAGTGCCAAATCTGTGTTACATTGTTAGGAATTACTCATCACAGATGAGTACCTTGAGTGCAGCTTGGACTCGGATTTGACGACTGACACCAGATGTGACTGATCTCATGAATTGCTCCCATAGATTGTGACGTTCCAAAATCTTAACACGGCAGTAGACTGAGGGCTGAATTTCGCAGTGAAAATTCCAAAGCAGCAAGTGTAGTCGAGCTGGTCCAGAGCTGCAGACTCATGTCATGTCGGTCAAGCGCCGAAGGAATAGCACCCATCTTGCCTGACTGTCAGAGGCATCCATAGGGTGTTGGTTCAAATACTAACCTGAACGCGGTTGTCTGGGGCCTTGTTGTGAGAATACAGCTATACGTATCTATGCACCTGTAAATGAAGAAGTGATGGTTCTTGCTGGAGTGCAAACATTGGTGCCAAGCCGTCTGTTGTGTTCATAAGTTGTTCTGAACACATCTTGCTGACTCTTAATAAGGATAAGTCACCTGTATGTTCATAGAAAATATTCTCAAACTGGTTCATATTATAACTGCAGATTTCCATTTAGCTGATATTTAGTTTATGGGCTTTTTCAAAAGGCTAAAAGGCTAAGTTATGGGATAAGAAAATCTAAATACTGGAACATCAAAAAAGAAATAAGATCACGTAAGGGACCATGAGGTTACATTGCTTGCTGGATGAGGAATTTGTACCATTCACTAAGATGATTTATTATGGAGAGCCTAAATACCATGTCCATTCTGTTTTGAGCTATGCTGTGTGCTTTTAATGGGCAGCTATGAGGAATTTTTTGAAAACAGTGTTCAGTCAGACCCTGAATAGGACAAGCGGTTATATGGATGGATGGATGGATGGATGGTGAGTTTCGTGGATGATTCAGAGGTGGCATCCTTACTAGAATGGAAGATGTGAGGATCAGCCTGCCCCTCGTGTAAAGCCAAACGCGGCGCTAGGTTCTGAAGGTGCGATAATAACTGGGAATCACAGAGCCGTGGTCCGTTGACAGTGTGTAAGTGTCGCACTCCATGGTACCGCAGTCAATCCTGCGATTTGGGGCTTTCTAGTTGCAGTGAGAAAACACCCCCCCCCCCCATTACTGAGCAGAGACTGAGTGAAGGCGTAGCTCTGGGGAAGAAAAGAGGCTCACAGAGGCCACATAGCACAAGTAACACCAGAGAGGTGCAGTTGTTTTAAAGGACAACATGTGCAGTGAGCAAATAAATGCTTTTTATGATCAAATGTTTATGTGGTGATACAGCTGCAAAAAAATGTTTAGAGAATATTAGCGTTTCAGTGTGTTTGTGAAGATACTCACTTTGCTTTTCGCCGGCTTGTTCCCTTTATCTCATAAGAGTAGCCGGTCCCTGGGGAGCTCTGAGTGTGGGCGGGTGAGGTTTAGTAGGAAGGGGTTTGAGCTGTGCCTTTATGTTTACGTGGCCCTGAGGAGTTCCATCTCCCCCCAGTGTCTGAACTCCAGGAGGAAGGGATGAACGCCATCAACCTGCCCTTGAGTCCAATCCCCTTCGAGCTGGACCCCGAGGACACCCTACTGGGTATGCCCCCAGTCATACATACCAGTGCCTGCTGGTTTCATTCCAACTCTACAGACCTGATTAGTCCCACTGTGTCGCAGAGCATCTTTCTCCTTCTGGTTTGTTTTAGAGGAGAACGAAGTCCGCACCATGGTTGACCCGAACTCCAGGAACGACCCCAAACTGCAGGAACTGATGAAGGTTTGTGACATTGAGTCAATTGGATTGTGATTTAAAGTTAGAAAAACGCAATTAGTATATTCTCAGATTGCATCATGCAAAATTATTTTCCCAGAATCCTTTTCAAGCCGTTCTAATTTCATAGGTTATTTTAAACAAGCGGAGATAAAGCTGTTACAGATTTTTTGCATAAAACTGCATAAATATTTTGTCATTTGGTCAATGTATGAATATTTGAAATGTTTCATGCAATCAATTGTTCTGTTCTCCCGTTGCTAAATATGAGAGCCTGTCTTTGATTTTTTAGGTCCTGATAGACTGGATCAACGATGTGCTGGTGGGGGAAAGAATCATAGTCAAGGACCTGGCTGAGGACCTCTATGATGGGCAGGTCCTGCAGAAGCTCTTTGGTGAGGAACAACAAGTCTGGCTCCACCGTCATACATCTATTGAAGGTACTGATGGTCCACTCATGGAGCCCTCTTTCCTCCTGACTTTCAGAGAAGCTTGAGGGAGAGAAGCTGAATGTCGCGGAGGTGACGCAGTCTGAGATAGCTCAGAAGCAGAAGCTGCAGACTGTTCTAGAGAAGATCAACGACACCCTGAAGATCTCCACCAGAAACATTAAATGGAACGTCGACTGTAGGTGTCTAACTTTATCGGAAGTGTTAATGGCAGCAAACGTGGTGGCTTTTGTGTAGGAAGCATTTACATTTTGGTGGTTAGAAAAGGCTAAAGATCTGTTAGATAAGATTGGAGCCACTTTTGGAAAAAATGGAAGGTGGCAGTGATGTATGTACTGAAAACTGAAGTGAAATTGAGATTGTTTTTCAGAGACTGAGTGGAACACTTTCTGACCAAGTGAGTTTAATCCTTGTCTATGAACACAAACCATGGAAGAGCACTTAACCCTGGCCGAGTCGCATTAAATCAAGCCTAAGCGATAAAGGAGACTGCAGCAGACACAGAGCACTTTTTTTTTCAATTTTGGGGGATTAAAGAATGCTTGTTTATTTCATTGCATCCATTTTTACACATTGGAGGGGAGCGGGAGGTGTAATCCTGTCCCCTGTGCTGCTCGGCTCGTTGGCTGATTCCAGGGCGAAATGTCACATTCGTCTCGCCGGCTTCCCCCGCTGTCGCTCTGACATTCTCACCCGTTCTGCCGCTCAGGGTTCGAGCAGCGGTGGCGTTGGGGTGCGGCGGTGTAAAGAAAACAAAACTGATTGCACGTCGCTCTTTCTTTTGATCCCTTTTTCATTTGCCCTCCCATATTCATTCGTGAGATGCATTCCCCCTTTTTTTCCATCAGTCTTGTTTTTTGTTGTTGGGCTTCAGTTTTTTAAATCGCAGGATTTCCTGTGCTCTTTTATCCTTTAGAGATTAGCACAGAAATCTTCAAAAATCAATAGGATTTTTCTCCCTATGACCCCATGACAAATCCCCTTTTTGTTTTTTTTTCTTTGTGTCCTTCTCTGTAGATGTGTTTTTGGAAAAGGTGAAAGTTTAGTACTGTATGGACAGGGCACAGGTTTTAAAGCAGTTATTTTGTTTGTGAATTGCAAAATAAAATAAGCTGCATATCGACTTTTCATTTCTATTATGTAAGACTTCCTTTATTGTTTAGTATTTGTTTGACGTTCCACAGCATTATTTTTCTCATTGAAACATGTTTTGTGTAACGATAACAAAAATGAATAATCTGATATTTGATTTTTGACAAAAATCCATGTCGCTGTTTTGTTTGGTGATACTGGAAGTATTGTCGGAATTCTTTAAGAAAAAAAAATTGTTTTGACTTTTAACATATTATTTCATATGTCCCCAACAGCGATTCATGCTAAGAGCACGGTGGCTATTCTTCACCTGTTGGTGGCGCTGTCTCAGCACTTTCGAGCCCCGATCAGGCTACCGGATCACGTGTCCATTCAAGTTGTCGTGGTCCAGGTACCTGCGTTAATGCTTGATTTTCAGTTAAAATGATGTATAGGTCCTGTACATATGCAGCTGGGATGCACGATTAATTGTTTTCGAGTCACAACACTTGGACCAAACACTGCCTTTTCCCTCCTTAAGCTGTTTCAGCAAATTTCAGAGCTATGTTACCCTATGTGACAGAATGAGGGGGCAGAAAAACAGGTGTTATAATAAAGAGCAGAAGAGGTTTAAGTTTGTTTATTGTTCCTTAAATTTGGAAATGAGCTGTTTGTTAAAAACGTGGAGTGTGCCCTTCCTGTTCTGCTGTGTAAAACAAAAGATTGATCTGTGGGCCAGATTTAACAATGTTTATTATTATAAACATGTCTCAGGCCAGTACTTTTAGACCTCTTATAAGTGGTGAATTGGCCGACAAAATCCCTCGTCCTCCACTACAGAAATGGGCTGGTCGTCCAATGCAATCATCTCCATCATTTCGGCTGTTGTGTCTTCAGCTCTGCTGCTTCTAGCTTTGAATACAGGCCATCCCGTGGATACGAACGACTTCTGTTCTCTAAGTCTGTCTTTAATTTGAATTTGTAGTCGGAAAAATACATACAGTACATAATATTAAAAAATAATAACAATAATGATTGTTGTCCGCAAGTAGTCCGTAAGTTTGACGTTCTTATCCTGGGGATTGCCTGTATTGATAAAGTTTAGATGCCGGCCAAGGTCGACACATTGGACTGAAGCCAATATCTTGATTTTTAACCAATATTGGCTGATACTGATATGTTAACTGGTACATCGCCGATCTCTACAAATTGTTTGTTCCATCTTCATAAAGACAATATGTAAATCATAATGATAGAGAGGAATATTGCTCAAAAATCGTGAGGGTGGAAAAAAAAATCACAATTCATGTTTTACACAGAATCGTGTAACACTAATTACAGTTACAATTCTGTAGCTCTACACCAGTTGTAGCATGTAGTAGCTGTTTACTCTACTCATCTGCTATCTATGTTGCTTTTAGTTCTGATCCTTTGCTATGGCAGGGAAAGCTGTTGCATTATTTATGTGTCTTATCCAAAGAGATTTGTACAGTATTCAGTTTGATGCATTCATGCATTTATATAGTCACCATACATACTAAAGTGTTCAAGGTTAAACAGATTACTCATTGGTACGAGAGGCATTTTTCTTCCAAGGTCTGGCCTCCTTAAAGTCAACCTGTTCACCAGTAGCCTTTAATGGGAATATTCCTGAGTTCTAGAACAATCTCCAGGGAAGCGTATTACACTGTGGTTCCAGCCTGATAGTCCGAAATCCAGTTTGGAACAACTGAGTCTGATTTCACGTAGTTATGGGGATCAAGAGAGACGTAAAACGATAGATCTGTTTAAGTAATTCCTTTCTCCTCTCCTGTTCAGTCACTTAGCTGCATTCCCTGTCTTTCCCACAGAAACGTGAGGGAATTCTGCAGTCCCGACAGGTCCAGGAGGAGATCACTGGGAACACAGAGTGCGTGAGCGTAACTGCGTGTGGTCAGGCAGGGCTCAGATCCACGGCATGTGTACAGGAGAAACGGGAGCTGTGGAAAACTAGTCAGAAATTATTTTGGGAAAAATTAAAACGCATGGAAAAACTCTGAAGCCTTTCCTCTTCAATACAGGTGCTAAATACGTATTTGAAGAACAGGCAGCAGAAATCCTTGACATTCACCTCGATATGCAGTGCTGTGCAAAACAAAATGTTTTAAGCTATTTATCTGGGTAGTAAGTGTATATTTGCTCAGAAAAAAACAGAAACACAATAAAGTAACATTTTCTTCTGTTTTCCAAGAAGTTCATCCAATATCCTATTGGATGGTTAGATGAACACCACTTCAGTTCCTCAGGGGCACCCCAGCCATTCCATGCGTTTGTTAAATTTCATCACCAGATCAATTAATTACTTAACTTATTTAAAACAAAAGTGAGATATTGATTAATCAAACAAGTTGGGTCAGTGGTCCAGTCAGAAAATACACTGGTCTGTTGAACTTTTGCTGCAAATACTGGGGTGGCTTTATGAGAGTTTTTGAATTGGCTAAAAACTCTACCAACCTAAATGTCATTTAAACATCAATTTCTGTGACTGCCTAAGACTTTTGCACAGTACTGTGGATTTAATGGCAGACACTGACAACCACCCCGGCACCAGCACAAGTTTCTGAGTGTGACGCACCAGCCAAAGAGCCACACAGAATGAAGAGACAGATTGAGAGTGCCCCCGCCCCCTCCCTCGCCGAATCGCATTTAGGGACAGAGCCCCGTGTTAATGAGCTCATTCGCTGCGAGGGGGGGCCCTGGGTCCTGCCAGCTCCTGCCCGCTTTGTGAGGCCGCAGCTGATTGCCAGTTCTCCAGCGGGCATGAGCCAGCCAGCCAGATAAGGGCCATCGCTGAGCGCTTGTCATGCGGCCGACAGCAGCTGCCGGACCGTGCTGCCCGGGCGTGCAGATTGGAGCGGGAAGAGAAGGCGCTTGTGGGCAGATGTTCCCCGAACCTTGGGCCCCGTCGCCCGGGTGCGATCCAGCTAGCCTGCTCGCGCCACTCTGGGACAGAACCCACAGCCCTGAACCCAAACCGCTTTGTTCTTCCTTCTTGTCTGGTGCTCCTGATTAGAACATCTGCATTTACCTAATTCTAACTCTTCAAATGAGATGCTTGTTGGTTTTGTGACTAATTTGTCTGTTTTTTAAATGGAAATTGTCCAGTTCAACAAATAAACTTTTACATTGTTTCTTTCCCATCAGGGCTTTATCTGGAAGACATGGTATGTTTTTTTTTTTTTTGCAGAACTCATTATTGTCCATTAACAATGTCTGTTTTTTTTTTTTTTTTGAGTAAAATGAATTGAACACAGCTCGCTCGATGCCAGCACAAATGGATATTCATTACCCTTTCATTATTCTTTAGCCATAATTGCCAGATTTTTTTTGTTGCAAGCCATTGTAGGTAATGACTCATTCACACTGTTCCGTGCAGAGCGAGATGCCTTTGATACTCTGTTTGACCACGCCCCAGACAAACTCAACGTTGTGAAAAAGGTGCCGATTTACCCTCAATGTCGCCTGTCGACACAGACTGCTTTTGGCTCTGTCATTTCTTAATACTGACTCGTCGCTCCCTTCTGATCGTAGACTTTGATCACCTTTGTGAACAAGCACTTAAACAAGCTGAACTTGGAAGTTTCTGAACTGGACACACAGGTAGGGCACCTTTCTGCTGCTTTATACAGGTTTATCTGCAGCATCCAAGCTCTTTCTGGAAAGGTGGAGTGACATTTGTAGGTTTGGATCTGTTATATGAAATCATACATCTTGTTTTTAAATTATGGTGATTATGGTGATCTGCTTTTATCTGCATTTTTTTTTTACACTCCCAGTTTGCCGATGGTGTTTATCTGGTACTGCTGATGGGATTACTGGAGGGCTATTTCGTTCCCCTCTACAACTTCTTCCTCACCCCAGAAAACTTTGAACAGAAGGTATGGCTGTGCCACTGTGGCGGTTGCCATGGATACGGTTTCAGGCCGGACCCTGGTGCTGACCCGTTCTCCCGGCCTCTCCCCGGTTCTGCTGATGCGGAACATGCAGAACGGCGCTCGTTTCCCAAGCTTCGGTGCCGCCACGTGTGGACGGCTGAGTAAATGCGTGCAGTTTTAGGCTCCCCGGAGGTAATTTCGTATCAGCCATGAAGCCGCCGGTGCTCCCGCGTTCGTTTGTGTCCACGTATATGTTCCTGGAGTCGGTCCTGTTGTGGTGTTGGGGTGGCGATGGCCCATGCAGAGTCGCGCGGCCTTGTTTCGGGGGCCTGATTCCATAATCGGGCCGCACAGGACGTGCGCGTGGTGAGCGGCAGGCGGATTAGCGGTAATGCGTGGCGAAAGGGTTTCTTCCAGGCCTTGTCGTGGCTGGAGAGCCTGCCACCTGCCCCAAGGAATCCCTGCCCCTCTGCCGCTCACACTGACTATTAATAGCCCCCCCCGCCCGGCCGAGTAGCTCCCAGTACTATCTGATCTGCACTCACATCCTCTAGGCAGCAGGCTGCCCGCTCGCCTCCCTCGCCCGTCCACTGGCCGCTCGCTGTCCTATTTACTGGAGCTAAAAATGCAGAGTCCGTGCAAAGGGCTCTTGTGTCACACTGCCGAAAATGAGGTCAATACATATTTTTAAAAAGCGTGTTTGTGTACCTGGCCAGCGCTGATAATGGATTCAGCCGGGCAGCTTGTCCATGGGCTCGATGCGACACTTTGGAGATGTCAAGAGCAGCCTTCTCGAGTTCTTCAGAAGCGGGCCGAGACTGTGCAGGGGAAAGGCACAGCGTGGTTAAGCCAGCTAGATACGGCTAATCTTCGGCCGCTGTTCTGCCGATTCATGCTTATGCCAGTGTAATTGTAGCTTTACCTGCCCTGTGTCAAAATGTAGTGCAGTACTGAGGTACTCAGCATTTTGCAATACTTCCCAGTAATATGTGCTATTGGTGCACTAAAAGCTCACTTAATGTTTTATTCAGTTCCGTCTTTCTTGGCTCTGTTGCACCAGCCTTCCCCCCCACCCCCTCACCCGCGTGCCATGTGTTTTCCACTGCAGGTGCACAATGTGTCGTTCTCCTTTGAGCTGATGCAGGACGGGGGTCTGGAGAGGCCCAAGCCCAGGCCTGAGGGTACGTTTGTGTCAATCGAACAATTAATCCCTCTTTTTATGTTTTGTGTGGAACAGCATTCAGAGGAATACAAACATGAAGAGAGGTGTCTATCAACAAATACACTTTTCCCAGTTGACCCAGAGAATAGAGTGGCATTATAGTGGTGATTATTTTTAAATTTCACCACTTTCTGAATTGGGACATGCTATCAAAGCCACCCTTGAAAAATTAGCGCTTTTCAATTAATGAAACCTTGTGGGAGTTTTACTATTCTGAAGGCAGAACAAAAAATGATTGGTTCAGAGAGAGAACCAATCAGATTGTAGAGGAGGTGGGCCCAAGCAACTAAAGTACGCAGGACCAAGACTTCTGGTTGGTTTTGCCTCCTCTAGGTGCTTGGACCCACCTCCTCTCTGAACCAATCATTTTATGTTCTGCCCTCAAAACATTTTCTGTAAGTAAAACTCCCATGAGCATAATGCTAATGCATTTTTACTGCTCTGGGGAAGCGCTGAATTAAATGCGTGGTGACGTTAATAGCTTCAGCACCAGATTTGCTGATCTGACTCCTGTCGATCCCTTTGTCGGCCAAGTTAACGCGATTAACGTGATGTTATTTCTGTGCAGATATCGTGAACTGTGATTTGAAGTCCACACTGAGGGTGCTCTACAACCTCTTCACTAAATACCGGAATGTGGAATAGGTGGCACACAATATGGCGTGCCCGACGTTGCCAGGGCAACAAGCCTTGTCACTCACCCGCTTCTGCAGGCCTCACCATTTCTAGACCCACTGACTACACGCATAGAAGACTGTCAATCGGATATCAGTTAGCATCCATCTACCTTGAGTGTGTTCACTGAGATCCTGCGCTGTTATGTTGGGGGTTGGGCAAACTTTCTGGTAATCTTATTTCAGTTTCACACACCCAGCTTATGTAAAGCAGAATAAAGGGAACCCCCCAACCCCATGAGGGAGTCTGTACCAAACATGGTACAGCAGTGTGCTTTAAAACAAAGCACTTCACAAGCAAATAATAATTATTTAAATTGTATAAATACAAATGCTTTTATTTTTAATGTGGGCGGCGGTGGGGGGGGGGCACAGGAAGGGAGCAATTTGATAAAAAACTGCTTTATCATGGTTTTTTTATATTTCCAAGATGGCAAAACTAGCCACTGTAACAATCAATAAAATTGCACAAGTACATTATTTAGCTATATAGCAGAAAAGTGCATATAGGTAAAGTTGTATAAACTATACAGTCATTGTATAATCAGTGGAGGACCTTTTTGAACACTCTCAATTGTACACTGTTTATTCTATTAGTAGGTAGCCTTTACACTTGGAAATCTCTCCACAGCTGTAACGGGTAACTTGCATGTATTAATACACAACTAGCCCTGCTTGTTGACTGTTAACCATTACTACAGTACTGCCAAAATGTTTATAACGAATGAGGTGTAAGTCTTAAAACAATGAAATGGCTTGGAGCAAGCAAAATCTTGCGCTTAAGTTTTCATTAATTTGTTTTCATTCAGCATATACTGATGTGTACCATTTTTTATACAGAGATGAAATGTCAACTTTTTTTGGTTACGCTTTTGCTGCCGTTTTAGCGAATATGAAATCCACAAAGCTATCTTAAATGTATTTTTAAAATATTATTTCATAAATATATCTGAATCTGATGTTTGTTTTAATGTTTGTCTGGTGTTTATTATTTTTGTTTAATACTGTGGAAAAAGCACACAAAGTGTGATTAGAACTGAAATTTGCAATGCAAGCACATGTCATTTAACAGTAAAATAAATCAGTAAAACGTGTAATTACAACCAGGAAAGTTAGCTTTTATAATTCTTGGAATAAATAGGAGGTTGTTAATTTTCTCTAGTGAGAAAGGTTGTGGGGTTGAGTGGGGGGTAGCAAACATTGTGGTAATCTTATTTAAAATTCACACAAAGTAGGAAAAGGGGAAGACCTCATTTTGGGTCTGCACTAAACAAAGTGCATGACTGTGGTTTAAAACAGGAGTAGTTAACGAGCAAATGGTCTGACTTTAAATTTTTTAAATACAAATGTTTTTTTGTTTTTTTTTTTAATGTGGGCCACAGACCTTACTGATGAACTGTCTGTATTTACACCATATTTGATTTTAGCAGAAATGAAGCCAAGGGTCCCTCACGTTTTCTGAGTTTTTCCAATGCCACTCAAAAACAATAATATTTTACACAGTGCATTTCAGACACTTTCAGAGCACATTAATGGCGTTTTAATTTGTCCATTGTTACATTTACAATGCTCTTACATTCCTCTGTTACAAATGAGACAATAATGTGCAAAATATACCCTTTTCCCTTCCATATAAGACCGTTCATGGATCTTCCTAACACTGCTCTGGGACGCATCTTGCAGATATTGATACTCCGTTGTCATTAGAGTGGGGTGTTTGGAAATAAAACTGCCTGGCTTTTAACTGAAGAGCGAGGTAAGTGATTTCAAACCAGTGCAGCAGATGGCAGCTTACTGGTTTTAAGAATGCTGCGTGGGAGTTTGGAAAGAATCGGATCCCTTGTATTTTTCTGTTTGAAAGACACAGCGGCAGCTTGTCGGTTGTGATTTAGCGTATCTGTGGAGCCCATGTTCTCCCTCGCTCCCATTTATAATAGCAATATTATTTGTAAATTAATTCTTGAGTTTGCCACAGATGGGAATATTAGGGGGGGGGGGCAGAACCTGCATTTAAAACTGAATAATAGTGTGATGAGAATATGTGAAATTTCTGCCATAAGTTACAGTTATGGTTTGGTTGCCGAGTAAAGCGTTTTTAAGGATTGTTAAAATGTTCTGCCCGTTTCGTAACTGAACAAAGACACCGGTCTAGATCATCTTAATGCAGCTGTTCAGCATTGAAAGTTCTCAGGTTTCGCATGGTTGAGTAGCCAGTGGGTAACAAAGACCCGCAGGTTAGGACTGCACTGTGAAAGCATTAAAGGCAAGGTCAGGACAGATTGATTCTGTGCTATAAGTGTGCAGGGTGTAAATCCACAGATACAACTGAAACAATCACAACTGGGAGAATTACCCAACTAGCATGTGATTCGCCTTAGATACCTGTATTGATTTATTTTATTTTTTTTTCCCAAATAGTGGTTCATATCTGTTCTTTTAAAAATTGCTTATTGAAAATGTTGTGTTTGTATGCCATGTCGATTTAGCATCAAGTGCCCACAGAAACACATGAAACCAATGACAGTTGTTCAGCATTGCATACAGTTACAGTTGTTTTGCTTTTTATGGCTGAATACACAGGATAAGCGTTTAGGAGATGGATAGATGGATGAATGGTCTGAATGCATCTGTTCATTGCGATGTTGTTGGATTTATATGAATGCTGGGATTTCCACCATGCGTAAGAAAAGGTCCTTTCTCATCTGAGTAATGTTCTGTTGAAATGAACGCTGTCAAAATTGCAGTCTTTCACAGCTTTCTTAACACATGCCCGGGGTCACACTAGTCTGACTCAAAACAGAAAAATTATGCAGCATCTGCTGTATTCCTCAGTTGATATTAAGTCTCTGCAGTTGTACACATTTTAGAGTGCTCTTAGATTGTCATTCAATAATCCATTTTCTCACGCAATTTCTGCCAAGCTGTTACCAAAACACCTTAGGTTTTAGGTTCCAGTATCTTAACCTACTTTATGTTAGTTAAACATTACAGAAATCCCTGTGTAACTGAGAAGCTTGAGCATTTTGGATTCTCCTTGTTACCAATCACGTGAAACAGGTTTCTGTACAGAATAAAAGGTATTAAGGGCCATATACATAAATCAGTGTGAGGCGAAGGCTAGTTAATTACAGCATTTTTTGAGCCTTTCACATATGGCCCATAATAGAAAGTGTACATCAGATGCAATTAATTTCACAATGGCAAGAGTCAGGTATTTTCTTATGTAAATTTAAACTATATTATTTGTGTCCACAGAGGCTTTCTTCGTGTTTTGCCACTGTAATGGCAGGACTAACTGTTACACTCTACGCCCCTATTATTCAAATCACGGTCCTCGAGGTCCAAGCACTGCTGGTTTTCCAGCCTTCCTTTACCTGTGAGCCAGGTGTGAAGCCTCTGACCAATCAAAATCAGTAATTACAGTATTACACTAACTACCTGGGAGAACTGAACACAAGGCCTGGATTTGGAATCGGGGTCCAGATTTGAAGAACCCTGCTCTAAGCCGTCAATACGGTCACTTTCTCCTTCAACATATATTTGGTTTGTTCTAGTATGTATGTTATGAGCTATATGTACTTGTTTCGGTTGCTTGGTGATAGTATCAATCAGTTTATTTTAATTTAGCTTCTAATTCGGACAGGTGTATCCAGGTCAGAGTGTCACCATTTGATATATGTAATTATGGCTAATAGTTATTTGTGGGGGGAATTTGCTGTAAACAATTGTAAAGCCTGAATGAGCTTTGTGATACGTGCCTATAAAATTCTAAGATTTCACATTCATAGAATTCTCAGAAAAAAATAATTTAAATTAAAAATTTATCATGTGATGTTTTATGTAAAACTGAATGAAATGAAAATGCCAATAGAAATTTCTAGCTAGAGAAAGAAATTTCCCCTGTCAGCTGTTGGGCTCTTTCAGTCAGTATTTCTTATATTTTTCTTCATAAAAAATTATAAACAGCATTTTAACCACTCAGTATTGTCTCAATTAAGCAATAATCGTGAGGATGTGATCCAAGGGTCTGTTTTGAAGATTCTGGGTGTTTCGACATTCTTTGTTCTGCAGCTGTGTGCATTGCACAAGCCAGTATTCCATTAGTGTTTTTTTTTCCTGCTCCCAGCAACAAATTCGCACCATTCTCTCTCTGAAATAGATGTTGAAAGTAAAGGCCATACGACTGATGTACAAACACTTCTGAATGGAAGCAGATGCATAGTATATTCCTGAATGCTCCCCTTTAAAGGTCCATTTCTCTTCAATTACATCACAAATGAAAATGCTACATTTTATTTACGTGCTCCCCATTTAAGCCTAAATTCCCTCAGAATATGCCCAGGCAGTTTTGAATGCTCAGTCACTGGAAATCATATTATGACTATTCAGTTAAAATCATAGCCTTGGTATTGGAAAAAAATTCCGAAAAACTCCACTCAGCAGTATCCATTAAACAAAAATTATTATATTTGCAGTTAATTGGCTTAAAATTCCAATATTGATCATATATGCTAAACATTAGTAGTATTTGTAGAAGAATCTTTGTCTGGATTGGCCTATAATCTTGTAGACAGATTGTGGTACAAATTCTTATTTGGTTTCCTGCCCAAGAACCATACTTTCTGAAACAAATTCTCTTTGTAAAAGCAAGTTTGCATTCTACATCACAGAACCTGCGTATCTCTCCAGTAACAGGTCTTTGTTGTTTTAACTGAAGTCTTGCTATAATTATTCTGTGATTATTATGTGGTATTGTCTACAAAATTGAGGATAAAAGGAATGTTTATATATATATATATATATATATATATATATATATATATATATAAAAAAAAAATTTTAATCTGTACTTCATATTCTTTTTGACACAGTTACACTTCTTGTGGAATGCCTGGGCTGGTCACAAACACACATTTCAGAATATGTAGTTATACTCAGTGTATGTAGATAAAATGCTTGGGTCTACAAGACTTTGTTATAATCTGTTTTATTCAACCTGCTGGTACCACTTCACAATAAGGCTCCCTTTTGCCACTTATGAATGATACAGTAATAACTCAGTCACTCTCATAAAAGGAAAACTGTGTTATAACTTGTTTATAATTGTCTGTTAATAATTTACAAAGTGTTACAGCCTAATTAATAACCGGTTTGTAAACCTTTCATAAACCATTTATAAGTGTAGTCTTATTATGAACCAACCTGCTACACACACTAACATATCCAGACAAATTTTTTTTGCATCTGCACATTACAGATAAAACAGTCTGCACTTTGATTTTTCTTTTGACATTGGGAAACATGCTAAGCACATCTGAACACCATTCTCATCAGTTACGCTGAATGTAAACTGCTTAGGAGAATTAGTTCCTGTATGGAAAGTGCATATATAAGACCCCTGTATTTAAGCACCTTAAAGGCATTTTTATATCCAGCCCGGGAAAATATTAAGAGACCTCAGCACAGTTTCTTGTTTCATTCAATTCTCATTGTCTGGGTGTGCGTCTGTGAATGATATATATATTTGCAAACTGAAACAGCCTGTAGCCTGGTTCTTCCGTTTCTCATTAATCAAGGGCTGCTTCTTTGCTTTATGGGACTTCAGTCCTGCTTATAGGAGCCTGATACTATCCTAGCAGTGCACCTCACACCTGAACTTAATGTTTCCCATTCCTTTTGAAGGTCATTTGATGTCATCCTACGATTCATGAGGCACTGTCGGATAACTTGACGGTCATCTCTGGCTTTATAAAGTCGCTTCCGCCCTTTACCTGGCTGGTTTCTGCTCGTTCCCAGTGTCTCCTGCTTCACCTTGTTCTTGTGTACTGCAGTCTTAGAAATTCTGAACCTCGAAGCAACCTGCTGCTCACACTGGCATCACAGCTGGGTAACTGCTTATACTGAGCTTCCTTATAATCTATAAGACTTCTGGTCGCCCTGTACAGCCTTTTCAGGAGCATCATGTAATCAG